CCCCCGCCGCGGCGCGAGGCCTGGCGCCCCCGCTTGTTCCTGGCGCGCTGCCTCCGCTGGTCCTCGTACTCCACCTCCGGCGTGGGCTGGCGTGGGCGGGCAGGGGTCGGCGCCGGGGCCCGGCCGGGGGCGGGGGCGGGGCAGCGCGGGGGTGGCTGGAAGGCGCGGCGCCCGCTCCTTGCGGCGACCTGCGCCTCGGTCAGCGACTCCTCGCCGGCAGCGGGGACCTGAGCCAGGGGCGGTTGATGCGCTGCACGGCCCACCTTGTGCTGTGGGTGGACGGAGTGAGGGCGGCGCTGCTGGGTGGGGGAAGGGCCGAGGAGGAGACGGGAGGGCGAGAGGGCTGCAGCACTGGCATTCCCATCAAAGCACCGAAGCTGGGGCACTCACCTCCCCCAGCTTCAGCAGCTCCTCGATGAGATCGTTGCTGTGGAACGGCTCGTCCATGGCGCTGTGTGGGGCGGGGGCAGCACGGTGATCCAGAAGCAGCTTGCTCAGCAGCACTGCACAACACCTGCATGAACATGGCACCCCCACACCAAGCGAGCAAACCTACTCTAAGCCATTCGCGGGGGGGGCTCCGTCCCTCGCATGATGCCCATAGATGGCATGCACGCCTGTGAGGTCCACGGCGGGCTCCGGTCTATCAGGGGCTGGGCCCGCTCGGGGAGGCCAGGCGGGCACTGAGTTCGGGAGGGGATGCTGCTGAGGCACCGCATCGGGCTCCCTCGCCTGGTTGAATGTGTTGGAGTTTTCCGCATGGCCTCCAAAGTAGTGCTGCAGCTGGGATTTCGCGAGGTTGCGCGCGGACTCAAACTTGCCAGCCATGTCTCGGGGTCGTCACAGGCTGCTTGATGCGATCTGGAGATGGCGGTCATGCATACTGAGACTTACATTGCATCATGATATCTGCGATCGATCGACAAGGTTCCCTAGACTGCGCTGACCCGTCGCCGATGAGACTGTCACCCTGCATCCTCTGTCCCTTGCATCAAAATCGTACTTGCGCACGTGACACCTCAGGGCCACTCTGGGTTGTCGAAACTCGTGAAATAGTTGAGAGTCTACCTTAGCAGATCGCGATATCCAAAAATATCCCATTATGGCCCAGAAATCTCGAACAGCAGCCAGGTGTAAGTGTCAGCACAGACCCGTGGCATGCTCCGCTGCAACATCAGACCATGGGGCAGGAAGGCGGGGCTGTGTCCGCCGCCCTCCTCGTCGCTACTTATCAAGATTCAGCCTGTCAACCCAGCAGCCCAATCTGCCTCTAATTAACAGAGATTATACTCAGTTACCATCGAGTCGTTCCAGAGATTGGTGGCCGGGGCGTCCGAGGGGGTCGAAGTACCTGGCTCTGGGCCCTGTAGAAAGTGCAAATGCGGTTACTGCGAGTGTATCTGTATTGCCAACACAACCCGACAGAGAACGCATATTATCGGTGGAATGGATGTCAGGAAGTGCAAGGGCATGCCGCCAGATCTTGCGGAGGCGGCACAGCGAGAGCAGAGCTCTGTCACTGGAAGACGAATCCATACATGACCTCCTCCGCTATCTTTGGATATTTTCAAGAATCGCGAGAACTGACAACCCCTGCAGGGCCAAATGCCTCAGGACTGAAGCATCTCCTTACAATTATAAATACAAACAGCGAGGTTCAGCTCCAAATCACGCATAAAACTCACTACCACCTCTGGGTCAGGGAGGCAAGCAGTTGCATAAACTCCAGAGGACCACCTGCACGTGTGGGGGAGAAGAAATCCAAGGTTTCTGCCCAGCGATGGCATGGGGTGTCCAGCCCTCCTTCCCTCAGGGCAGAGCATACCTTTCCTGTCCTTCCTCCTCCTCAGCTCCTCGCCTGGTGTCCTGGCAGGCGCCTCCTGCTCAATGGGGTTGGTACTGACAAGCATGAGGAATCCACGATGAAGCGCCAAGATGCCAAGTCATCCTCTTTCCGCTCCAGAGGAAGGGCGATTTCTGCCTAGCTCCCCCCCACCCATCAGACTCACCATGGGTCCAGCCAGTGCATTGTACACAGCCCTCCAGCTGGCAAGGAACGCCCCAGTGGAGGCCAGGGAGACCAGGACAAAGCTCAGCGCAGGCACATGACCCTTGGCGAGGGAGTGGAGTCCGATCCCAAGGGGAACCCCCACCGCCCAGGTCTTGAACAGCTGTTCAGGTTTTCGAAGCAGCTCCTGCCTTGAGTACGTCCCGAGGAGCAGGGCCGTCCCATACCAGGCTGCAAGGAAGGGGCCTGCGGTGCCGAGCAGGCTCAGGGGGGCCAGGCCCTCCCCATGCTGCATGCGTCCGACAGCAGCAAACAGGAGGAAGCACGCCCCGTCACCAGCCAGCAGCGCCGCAAGCGTCCTGCATTGAGAAGTGAGCACTCTCAGCGATCCTGCACCGACAGCACTTGGGAGCATGAGAGCGGCAGTGTTTGCCAGAAGCACGCACCCAAGGTCTAGTGTAGATTCGCCTCTGTCAACTCCTGCGACCCCTTTGATGACTTCACCCTGGAGATGCTGGATCCTGTGCACCTGTACACAATAGCAGGATGGATTTTGCGGATGTTGTGCCCCGGGGTCTGATTTGATGGCTTGACAGGATTGCATGGCCTTCCATGCAATCCATGCACCATTGATCCTGGTTGCGGACCTCCATGCGCACCTCAATCGCAGGGCGATCTGGATTGTCATTTATCATTTCGTCATTTGTCGCCTCCATACTTGAAGGGGGGCGATTGTGCGCAGCTCTGGGCACGAATCGGGGTGCAGAGGAATGCAGGGAGGGGTCCCTCGCGACGATTGTCCCTCGATGCGGCCGGCATGGTACCCAGCCGCCCCGATATCTGGCGATAGAATAAATTGAATGCATCGAGACCCTGAATGATGTCCGCACCGACCAAGTTATCGGAGGATTTCGCGTTGTAAAGGGTTCGGGCATGAGCATGGCCTTTCCACCCTTTCTAATGAAAGTGGTGCCCTTTCCCGCCTCCGGGAGAAGCGAGGACCCCTCGCCGCCCAGGCTGTGAGTGGCACGACGGACATGTGGGAGTCTCTTTCCAGGCGACTGGTTCCTCTGTCGCTTGCAGTGCGTTGAAGAGGAGTGATAGCGCGGGGAGGCTGAGGAGCAATCATGCCGTCCATCTCTTGCTACCGCAACTGTGAGTGCTGCTGCCGGGCTTGGGGGAGCGGCTTTGGGTGGGTCAGGGCGCATCCCGCCTGACATTGGAGCTGCAAGGGTGGCTGGGTCCTGATATATTGAGCAGAGGCGAGGCGCGAGGGGCCCGCTCATTGGTTGTCCCTGCGTTTGTCCCTTCTGCCACGACGCGAGCACGGCGGGGAGGTGTCGCGGTGCACGGTGCACGGTGCACTCAGTGCCACCCGCGCTGAGGTCGGATGCGGTACAAGCTCTTCTTCATTGCTGTTGGTGGGCCCTGTTCCTGCACACCGAGCACCCACCCCCGTATCATCGGCCACTCCCGCAGATGGCAAGACCTTCAAGAAGCCCCGTCGTCCGTTCGAGAAGGAGCGCCTCGACGCCGAGCTGAAGACCGTGGGCGAGTTCGGTCTGCGCAACAAGCGCGAGCTCTGGCGCGTGCAGCTGGTGCTGTCCAAGTTCCGCTCCCGTGCTCGTGAGCTGCTGACCCTGGAGGAGAAGGACCCCAAGTGAGTGCCATCATGGGAGGGTGTGGAGAGTATGTGTGGTGGGGGCGCCAGAGGACCAACGGGATGGCAGAAATTTCAGTGGGGCGCTCTGGATCAGATCATGCGTTTACTGGTGCAGTCCCTTGCGCTGCTGCAAGTCCTGGTTGCTCGGTAGATTTCAAGCCGCATGCCCCCAGACCCTCCAAGCTTCAGCCTGATGTCTTTCTCCTCCCTCGTGTGCGCTCGCCTTGTTGAGGAGTGTAAGCTCCATTGCAGCTGAGCTTTTCTGTGACCCCCTTTCCCCCCCTTCTCCCCCCCTCCCCAGGCGCCTGTTCGAGGGCGAGGCCCTGATGCGTCGCATGTACCGGTACGGCTTCCTGGAGACCCACGAGGACAAGCTGGATTATGTGCTCTCCCTCACCCCCGACCGCGTGCTGGAGCGCCGCCTGCAGACCCAGGTGTTCAAGCTGGGCCTCGCCAAGTCCATCCACCATGCGCGCGTGCTCATCCGCCAGCGCCACATCCGCGTCGGCAAGCAGATCGTCAACGTGCCCTCCTTCATCGTCCGCATCGACTCCCAGAAGCACATCGACTTCGCGCTTAACTCGCCCTTCGGCGGCGGCCGCCCCGGCCGTGTGAAGAGGCGCAGCCTGGCCAAGAAGGGCAACGACGCCGAGGAGGAGGACGAGGAGTGATTGCACGCGTGTGCTGGGACGAACGAGATGCATGCTGCCCCTGCTGCGCTGAGAGGCATGTAGGCAGCCCAGGGAGTTTGTGGAGACAAGACATGGCAGGGAATTGGGTGTCGGGGGAGGGCAGGTATGGCAGAATAGCAGGTTTCGGGGGAGGGCAGGCACGGGTTTGAAGGCCCTGGATGGTGGGGGGGGGGGCCGAGGGGGGTTCAGGGGACGGCCCTCCGATGTGCCCAGCTTCCACCAAAGTGGTAGGCCGCATGCGAGCGCTGAAACCTTTCAGAGCGTCGAGGAGCCCACGCCCCGACACAGGCACTTCTCCGAAGAGCGCTTACACAGAGTTAGAAAGAGGCTGAAGACCTCTTGTACTCATTCCTTGACGACAGCGGCGCGTTTCGAATCCCACGACTTCTATTCGCAGACGGGATGGCGGCCACTAACTTGATGATCCACACCCTTCTCATGGGCCTGGTTCCTCTCATCACATTTGTGGTGGCAAAGAGGGGCACCCTGGACGTGCTGCTCGAGATCCTGAGCGCGGAGGAGGTCAGCGACAGCAATCGGACGGTGCTGGGAGGCCTGCTGGCCCTCCTGGGGGTGAATGTGGTCATCGTCTCCTTCATGATCTGCGCTTGGTACGAGACCCCAGCCATCGTCCCCGCGAAAAAGCGGGAGTGAGGGTCCCGGGATGCCAGTTCCAGACCAGGCCCAGGCGTGGCCTGGCCTTCAACTCCAGCAGCAACGACGACAACATCAGAGTGAGCCACCTGGCTTGTTCTCATTAGCCTGCCTACGGGCCAGGTCGGGCAGGCAGGCGTCTTGCACGCCACAGCAACACCTGCACCCTGCGGCCTTGGAGCCTCATGCAGGCACCTCCTGAGAGCCCCTGCGGGCGCCGAGCGTGTGACCGAACCACTGTTGCCGCATGTGACACGATCTGACAGTACTCTCTTGCTGCCCCCCACTCCCTAACCATCCGGACAGTTTTGTGTGAGCACTGACACCTGCTGCGCGCCAGGTGCATGCACAACTGTACAAAGGCATTCACCTCGTGGCCAAGGGAGGGGAGGGTTTGACAGCAAGGCCCTGATGGCCGGCCAGCTCAAGATTTTCGCAGTCGATCCAGCCTGGCCTGGAGGTCGTCATCCAGCCCGCCGCCGCCGCCAGCATCGCCGCTGGGTTCCCCGCCGCCGCCGCCGCCGCCTCCACCGCCCGGCGGCGGTCGCGGCGGCGGCGAGCCTTGCCGATTGTTGCCGCTGCCGCCGCCGGCTGCTGCCCCGATGGCCTGCGGCGCTGCTGCGACAGGCGCTGCCGCGACGCCCGCCCGCGCCTTGGGAGCTGACACCAGGTCTGCATCCAGGGAGATCCCGATCTCGTCCAGGACCTGGAGGCGAGGGAGGCGGAGCGGGTGGGTTTGAAGATGGGGGCAAGGGGGGGAGGTGGTTTGGCTGACCTGGGCGAGTGATGGCAAAAGGCACTGGGAACTCCACAGGGACGATCAGTGCCCAGTCCAAAGCCGTCCTCTCGCAGCGGCACAGGCCGCCGCAGGCCCCACCTGGGAAACAAGCTCGTCTGTCTCCTCCTCCTCCCCGCCCTCCTCAAAGGCGCCGTCCACGGCGTCACCCATCATTTCACTGGTCATCTCCATCTTCTCGTTCTGACGCTCAAACTCCCGCATGATCTGTGAATCGATGAGGGGGAGGGGGATGTGGCGGGTGTGGGAGAGGTTTGCCTGTGCGCTCCACCACAGAAGGAGCACGCTGACGCCACAGAAACCAGGCCCATCCCCCCCTCCCTTGCCATCGCCCGCTTCACCTTGGCCAGGGCCGGCAGGTTCATCCTCTTGTTCATCATGCCCATCGCCCGGGTGGCTCCCTTCATCGCGTCAGCCATGGCGTGCGTGGACTTGAGCGTCTGTGGGATGGGGACAGTGTGAAGAGGGGTCCAGAGTGAGGGCGAGGGTGACATCGTTGAGATGATGTTGGGATGGAGGAGACCCCAAAGCCCCAAGCTTCCGCATACACGATACAAGATGCCATTCCCGGCCAGGGTACCTCAAGTAAAATCCCGACATCACATCACTCAAGCGACTGGATCCATTGAGATGCGGCGCAGAAACAACTCGCACCGCTATCCGCAATGACACGGCCTGCAGCTGGCTCTTCAGCGCAAACATCTTGTTGACGGCGTGCCGATTCCGCACCAAGGACTTGGCCATGACCTTGACAGCGTCCTGTGGAGATCAGGGGGCGGACTGGTGGATCTGGGAAGGATGTGCAGGGTGGGTTCCTGCTCCCTTCTCCCAGTCTCAGTACGGCATTGGGATACCAGGCAGGATAAAGCTCGGGGGCATCCTCACCATCTGGCCCTCCTTGGCCATCTTCTTGATCTCCATCACCAGCTTTTTCTCCTGGTTCTGCAGGCCCGTGCGCTCCCGGTCCAGCTCCCGGATCGACCGATCAAGCAGGCGCTTGTTCTCCCGGAGCAGCTCTGGGCATTTCAAGGGAGTGGCGATCAATGGAGACCGCGCGTACTGTGCTGCCTAAAAGCCATCTTGGGATCTCAAAGGAGACACGCGCTCGAGAAACACACCTGCTGCCGTTTTTCGTTTTCCAAACAACCACATCCTGGTCTCGCTGCTGGACCGCTACGCGCAGGGCCAGGAGGAGTGAGGCAGGGGCACGAGGCGCATGCCCTGGGCCAAAACACTGTAGGAATGCCGATCAAATGTTTGGATCTGGAGAACAGGTGAAAGCAACCCCCAGCTGGTAGGCTGTCGGACGAAGCTGGGCATGGAATGACCGCGTTTCGGACAGGCATGGCGCGAAACGAGGTTTTTGAGCGCGGAGCGGAGTCCTCCGACACCTTTCCCACGAGTTGACTCCCTCAAGCTTGCGGACGCCCGTGTCGATGCCCAGTAACCAAGATGTATGCAGCAGCAGTCGTTCCCAAGGTGTTCATCGTGCGCGATGACGATGACAAGAGTCGCAGAGAGCCGGCGAAGAAGTACACGGCCGGCTCGCCTCGGGCACCCCACCTGAAGTCGAGCACCCACTTAATCCCTCGATCCTCGTCTCTGTCCATGAGCTCATCTCCAACACACGTGAGTCTGGCAACGATGCGTTCGGCACTCTACACGCGTAGAGCTTGCCTCCCGGCTTGTCCCTTAACTGTCCTCGTCGATGACACTCTCCCTTCTCAACCCTGACACCACCTTGCAGCACACCGGCGCCAACAGCCTGTTCGACATGGAGCTGTCTCTTTCGCCTGCGGAGCTGTCTAGGGAGATGGCCGTCAGCGCCCTGCGTTCACATCCCGTCGACGTACAGTGAGGGCTGCGTCGTCCCCAGCCCGCCCTCCCGACCTATGTGAGAAGATTCCCCAATTCAGCATAGCGGTTGCGGCGCTGGCCCAGTGTATATATAGCAGCAGACATATACTGTACATGCTCTCCTTGAGCCGAGCACTTCCCATCTGTAAGATTGTAATACGGGAGAAGAATGCAAAAGTGGAGAATATAGACCGGCCAATCACATCGAGAGGGTAGGGTTGTTTACTCAGCGATGGCGTATGTGTCATTCAGGTACTGCACGATGGAGGCTGATTCAAACATGGCCACGCCCTTGTTCGGGTCCTGCGAATGGTTTGGAGTGGAGTGAGTGAAGTCATGTTGCTGGACTTTCCACACGTGTTGTGTGCTGCTTGGGCCATAGCACCCCTACTCTGGGTGGAAAGAATGACACTTTTACCCCTTCCTCTCACCTCCAGGTACGGGGCTTGGAACCTGCCCCTCTTCTCGAACAAGACCTGGCGTTTCGGTGACCCACGGCCAGCCGTCACATGGATGTGTGGGATCTCCAGCTCCACGAGTGCCTCCCGAGCAATCTGATTTGGGGGAAGCCAAGCATCAGGGTCATGTTCAGCCAGACCTGTGGTTTGCTACAATCGTGACCACCACATTCAATGCTGTCAAGCAATTCGAGTGCAAGGTGCTCATATCACCGCCAGCTCGCTCACCTTGCAGAATGGGCTGCCCTCAAAACTCCACAGCACCAGGGGCCTCTCTGGGAGACGGGAGGGACGATACACGGTTCCTCTGTTCACCCTGTGGCCACAGGGTGAAAGTTTTGTGATCATGGTGCGGGTTGGCCAGACAGCTTTGGGAAGGGCACACGCATCGCGCGAATCAACACATTGTGCTTCACCTCGTCGCCGACTTTTCAATCCAGAAATGATAGAACTTCCATGAAAATGAAACCCATTTCATCACCAGCTACCTTGCTATCATGGCCAAGGAGACGCTGATGTTGGTGAGGATGCCCAGGCGCAGGGGGAGGGGCACCGTGCCATCACCATACGTATCACAGAGGTACTTGATGATGGCGTCACTCTCAAACATCTCCACGCCTAGAAAGTAGGGGGCATGAAGGTTTGTCTAAAATGGCATCCCAGACCACAAGTAGAGTGTCTCCACATGAATCACACTCTTCGCATCACCCCACACTCAGGCGCTCTCCCTCTCATCCTTCCCCCCTCCTCGCACCCACCAGTGTTGGGGTCCTTCATGTAGGGGAACTGCGACTTCCCGGTGGTCTCCTTGACCTGCTTGCGCCAGGTCGGCCCATTCTTGGGGCAGGGGAAGAACTTGACGTCAATGTCCAGCACATTCACAGCTTCCCTCACCTTCCTGCGGGGTGCGGAGCAAGCATCCAGCAAGGTAAGGTATTGCCTGTCTATGGCAAGTAGTCCTAGATGGATATGACTGACAAGTCAATGCACAAGACGGTCCAGGATCCAACCTCTCTCTGTTCAGCAAAGCAAGAACATGCACTGGGTAGCCCCCTTGAGATCCTAGGATCCATTACCCATGTAAAACCCTGTCACCATCGCGAACCAGCCCATCGCTCACCTACAGAAGGGACAGCTCTCAAACTCGTACAGCTCTATCGGCAGCTCTGGACGAGGAAAGGTCGCGACGATGCTCTCCTCACGCACTGCCTTGCCAAACATGTGGCCTGATGCATACTTGCTGGGGTCCTCCGGCACCAGGCTCACGTGGTAGCCCTGGTTGAACGCAAAGCCAGGCCGGAGGATGAACTGGAGGGATGCTGTGAATGTCTGGGGGGAGAGGAGGGAAGCATTACTGATTAGCAAGAGAGACGGTAGGCGGCGCATGCCATACGAGCAGCACGGTGCCTTATTACCCGCCTCCAGCACAGCACGGGCAGAGCACTGCCCGATTAACAAGGACAGCAAAAACCACAACACGGCAGCCGCGGATGCTCACCGCCAACTTCCCGCCTCCCAGGCCATAGGTCTGAGGATCCTTCCCGATCATGCGCAGACTGGTGTCCGGAGTGTTGAAGCGCTCCTTGGGAGTGAGTTTGGGGACGATCTGTCCAGGGGTGAAGCTAGGCAGATGCTCGGCGGAACATTAGGGGGAGCCGGGGGTGGAACATCCACCCTCCGTCAACGTTTGGATCATCGCATAATGTATCGTGCCATGCTGCGAGACCGTACCTGGGCCGTCATGCTGGTGATCGATGCCTTGGACGGGACCAATGGGCGAGAGCGCGTGGTGTGTGTGAAGACTCTCGTGGGACGCAGTCCGCCCGCCAACATCAAGGAGATTGATAAGAGGGTAGTATGTATTTGATAGTTCTCAAGAGTAAAATAAAGGAGACAAGCTGTATTAGACAACAAGAGGCGGTCATCGAGCTCGATGTACCCATGCAGTGTGGAATGATTGGCGAGCCGAATTCTCGCGCCCAGCCTACGCAGCATGGCCAGCTCACCCGTGCATGCAGGCCGAGGGACGGGATCCCCTGCAGCATCGTCACAGCGAGGCACCATGGCCCATATACAGAATGCTGTCTAACGGAATGATGACTCGGGTACTATGAGTATTAGCTGACTCTGGACGGCACCCGGCGGCCGACCCCATGTCTTCGGACAGCGAGCAGGAGGAGGCTCCGCGCGCCAAGCGGCCGCGAACGCACGTCTTCAAAACCCTCACACAGCAAATTCAGGAGGTAGTTGGTTGCTTTTACATCGTGTGCAGGCGTATGATGGGTCTGGGACAAGTGAGTCGCCGCATCGAGCTCAGGACACACCCACCCGTTTCCTCTCCTCTCTCGCCAGATCGAGGTCACAGTGTTCCTGAGCCAGGAGTACTCCCGCACCGACCCCCTGCCCGGCTTCTCCTCCTTCTTCCAAGAGAATATCACCAAGTGGCGGGAGCTGAATGCCGCCGAGGATTTTGTGCAGGCGGCCACCGCCCTCACCCACCTGACGCAGACGCTGCCCCAGCTTCTGCACAATGTCGAGCCGATCCTGGACATCCTGCTCGGCCGTCTGCACATCACTGCCGGTGAGTGTGGGGTTGAGGATCTTGATTGCGTGATTCCCCCAAAAGTATGTTTTTGGGGAGGGATTGCTGTCGTACGGCGGCCATACGGCGATCTGGCAGTGCGCTCCATGGTATAGCACCTTGCTGGTATGATGTCGCGTCGAGAAGGACTGATCTCAGATCCCCATCCCACAAACCCCACAAAATCCTGCAGAACTGTCCCTGGAGCCGCTGTTCGTCTTGATATCCACGCTGGCCAGGGACCTAGGGGTCGAATTTGAGCCCCACTTTCCCCGCGTCATGGCCGCCTACGCAGCCCTGGTCGCGGAGGGTGAGCGAGGTTGTGAACTGAGATGGCCCGGCGTTGATCTCATGGGGAGGCTGCCAGCCTGCCACTCCGTTCATAGGCGGCCTGGGTCGGCGGGTGCTGGACGGGAACGGGGGACTGGTCTTTGACCCACAGGTCCATCTTCAGCTGGTATCCCTCCCCTCCACGCCCCCTTCCCCACACGCATCACGCCAGGCCTGGACAGGAAACCAGAGTCGCTGCAGCACCTGTTCTCCTCCCTCAGCGCCATCCTCAAGTTCCTGTCCAAGCAGCTGATCAAGAAGTTCCCAGCCGTCCTCTCCGCCACTGCCCCCCTGCGCTACCACGCCGCGCCCCACGTGCGCCGCCTGGCCGCCGCCGCGCTCGCTTTCCTCCTGCGCCAGATGCACGCGCAGCGCCGGCTGGGCGCGCTGACCGCCGCCGTGCGCCTGGTCCTGCGCCAGGCCACCGCGTCGGGGAGCGAGGCGCGACTGCAGGCCGGCGCCGCCCTGCTCTTCCACGCGGCGCGGGGCCTGGGCCACGACCTGAACAGCCACGCGCCGGAGGTCCTGCTGCGCGCTCTGCGTGGGCTGGAGACCGGCGACGCCGACCCCGGGCGCGTGAGGGGGCCGAGTGGCGAGCAGGAGGCCGCCGGCCTGGCGGGGGATGAGTCCGTGGCAGCCGAGGGTCTCCAGCCCGATAAGGGTGACGGGGACCCCCTCGACCGCACTGAGTCAACCACGTCCCCGGCGGCGCAGCGCACGCTGCGCCACGCCGCGGTGGTCGCCGCCCTGCTGGACCTGCTCCTGGAGCATGTGCGACGGGATAGCGCGGCGCAGCTCTGGGCCGCGCTGCACTACGAGGCGCTGCTGCGCCTGGAGGCCGCACAGGCGGCGCCCGGGGACGACCTGGCCGCGCTGCGCGCCGCCGCATCCCTGGGTCACGTCGCCCAGGCCCTTGCCTTCCACGGGGGGTCCCGCGTCGGCGACTACGGGCCCTCCCTGGACCTCATGGCGCGCGCGCTGGGCATCTCCGCCCTGCTGGAAAGCGAGGCGGGGCGGGGGGCGGCCCTGCGTCTCGCCGCCGCCCTCGTCGCAGGCCACAGCCAGGCGGCCGGGGCCTCATCGGGGCCCGTGGCCTACGCGGGCATGGCCTCCCAGTGGGCGGGTGCGTTTGCGGGAGGGGAGTTGGGGCGTCGGGGCAGACGGGATGTGAGATCTCATGGCGCCGGCACGGAGTGTGGCGGACATGCCTCCACCTCGCGCGTCCCACTGCTTTCCGACATCTGCCATGGGCCTCACCCATCGCTGCCCCATTGCATCCCCTGCAGGCCTGGTGGGGAGTGTGGACGATGCCTCCCTGCTGACATTCTGGGACGGCATTTTGAACAGCCCGGCGCCCAGCGAGGTCGCTCGGGCCTTTGGGCCGCTCATCGTGTCCCACCTCCTGCCGCTCATGCAGCCCGGTGAGGCGGGTGTGGGGGTGGAAACGCTGCCGGCCCTGGTGCGTCGCGATTCTTGCGCCTGTCCCCAGAGCAGGGAAGGGGCGAAACTTCCTCACTCCCACCCCGAGATGACCCAATGTTGCACGTCAGTCAAAGAGGGGCGGCACAACACCCCCCTGCTGCTGATGCACACATTCACTGGCTGTGGTTCTGAGGGTTCATGCGAGGCAGGGCACCCGCCTCTTCCTCTTTCGTCCTGCGCGCCTGTCTGCATCCCTGTCACCCACTGGGCAATGATGACAACCTTTCGCTATTTTCATACACGGTCTCGTGGATCTCACAGACCGATGATGAGCCAATGACACATTGGCTGTGGTACTGACGCCCCCCCCCCCTCATACTTCTCTGACTTTCTTCCCGTGTCCCTCCTGGGATACCATCAACTCTTAGTTGCTGGTCCGATGTACAGCTAGATCCTCTCATCCAATCCTTCATCCTCGTGCTTGGTGCACATCCGAACAAGGAGCACGCACACTTACCTGCACTTTCTCCCCCCTACCCCCCTCCCAAAATAACCCTGCAGGTAGCCCCATGCACGACGAAGCCTGGGCTGTTGCAGTAAACCTCTGCTCGAGGCTGGAGGAGGCCGAGGACCATGCCCCTGCCGCCCCTTTGGCAGAGCCTGTGCTCGCCGCCCTGGCGCGGTTTGACCCTGGCGACTGCCCGCTGGCCTGGGCCGCCCTGGCCTGCCTGCCTGCGGCCCTGCCCGACCGGGCCTCCGCCGGCGCGCGGTGCGCCGAGCTGGCGCGGGCGGCGCGGGCGGCGCTGGCCGCCGCCGCCGAGCCAAGCGACAGCCAAGAGCTGCGCTTCTTGGTGGCGGCGGCGCTGCGCGCCGTTTCAGAGCTGGGCCAGGATCCGGCGGCGCTGGACGCCAACGCCGGCGCGGCGCTGGACCTGCTCCGCGCTTTCCCGGGCGACCCGGGCGTGGTGGGCGCCGCGGCGGCCTGCCTCGCGCGTACCGCCGCCGACGGCCCGCGCCGCGGCGGCGACGCCCTCCGCGAGTTCGCCGCGGCGCTGGGCGGCAACCTGCGGTCGCCCTCGGCTCGCCTGCGCGCCTCCACGCTGCGCCTGCTGTGCTGCTGCCGGCAGCCGGTCCTGGGCACGGGCGGCGAGCCCAGCGACGCGCTGCCCTCGCTGCTGGGCATTGAGGTGCGAGGGACGGGAGCGCAGCGCGCACAGCACGGCGGATTGGGCCGCGAAGGCCAGGTGGCGATCGGCCGGCTGGGCACGCTGCTGGAGCACGGCGCGGGCGTGCCGGGCTGGCTGGCCGCGACTCTGGCGGCCGGCCTGCTGGGCACGCTGCGCGTCCGGTTTGGGCCGCTGTGGAGCGGCGCGGCGGGGGCGCTGGGCCAGGCGCTGCGGCGCCACGCCCCCGAGGTCTGGCCCGTGGCCTTGGAGGAGCTGCGCCACACGCAGCGCGAGTTCCTGGAGGGAGGGCCGTTGGACCGCTGGGCGGCGGCCAGCGCAGCGACGACGGCCGGAGAAACGGCGCCCGAAAACAGCACGCCCCTGCGCCGCCGTTTCTCGGCGGCATGCGTGCCCGAGGACGCGCCAGGCACCGACGCGGCGACGCGCCTGACGCACATCCTGCGAGCGCTGGCGGCGTCGGAGCACGCGCTGGTGGAGGCGCGCGCCCGGGACTGGCTCCCCCTCTTCCTCGCCTTCTCCTCGGCGCCTGTGGTGCTGCGGCGGCGGGGTGTTGAGGATGATCCGGCAGGAGAGGCGGAGGTTGCTGAGGAGCTGGAGGACGCGGCGGATGATGAGCCCTCCCACGAGGAGGCCCGCGGGGGAGAGGACGGCGACTACGTGATGGTAGCACGCCCCCAGGCAGAGGCTCCGGCGTCCCAAGCGCAAAAAGTGGACGAGAGTGGTCGGTCTGCAAACGGGAAAGCCGGACACCCGGTGGACGCGGCGGCGCCGGCGCCTGGCCCCCGCCAGGCCATGAGCGTCAAGGAGTGGCGGGCCGGGCTGCGTGAGTGGCTGGCCCTGCTGGGCACGCTGCGCGGCATCCGCGGCCTGCACCGCGCCGACGACCTGCTGCAGGGCATCGTGGTGCACGTCCGCGACTCCGACCCCGCAGTCCAGCAGGCGGCGCTGCTCTGCCTCAAGGTGAGGGAGTGAGAGGGGGGGCCCATCAGGCAAGCGAGGTGGGCCTGGTGACGCATAGAGGCTTTTTCCAGTTGGATGTAGCAACAAGGCATTGGCAGCCGGCATGACTGGGCGACATCAAGCCTGGCCCCCCTCCCCTCCTTGACTCGGCAGGCTGATTCCCCTCCCCTCCTCTCTTCACACCCCACAGGCGTACAAGCCAGTGGCCCTGGTCCCCTACATCGATCGCCTGGCCGGGCTGACCAACTCCAGGCGCCTGAGGACAGACCTGCTCAAATTTCCACTGGCAGGAGGGTGAGTGTTGAGAGGGGCTGTTGCGGATGAGGTTGCCTGACAGCCAGTGGGGTGCCGCCCCATGCCCGCAGAATCCTCTACCTCCCATCCTTCCTTTGCCCATTCCTGCTTTCCTCAGGACCAGGAGCGCCCGTCAGGACGACGACGAGATCCCGCTGCTGCCGGAGCACCGCCTGGAGGTGGTGCCCATGCTCACCACCCTGCTGTTCCCCCACATGCAGAAGCGCAGTGGAGGGAAGGGTGAGTCGGTGTTTGGTGGAGGGAGTCTCCTGCCGTTGGTGGCCGATACTCGTCCTCCTGGGGTTCTCCATCCAGCATACAATTGCGTTGCGCCAATGCCATCACCGTGCCAACCGTGCAGCCTGTTGTCCGCGTTTCAGCCACCAGTGCCAGAATCCACATTGCATCTGCCAGGCTCGCTCCAACCCATGTGCCTGTTTATTCCCCTCGCGCGTCACCGCTGAATGTCTGCCCTCTCCATGCATGCAGCGCCACAACGTGGCGCCATCATCACCTACTTCTCTGGGGGCCAGCCGGAGGAGCTGGCGCCGCTCCTGGCGCTGTTCCTGGAGCCGCTCGCCCCAACCTTTGCGGCCCTCCCTCACCAGCCGCCGCCGTCTGGCCACACGTATGGAAGGGTTGCTAGGGTGGGGCCTGGATATCCTGATCCCATGCTGCATCAAATGCATGCTTCTGGGGGCTGTCCCTCTGCAATCGCGGTGTGCATCACTCATTTTCCTCGTGTGGCCCCCCACCCCAACCGTCCCTCCCGGCGACCCCTTTCCCGCTCTTTCCACGACATCCTCCAGGCCCCTGGCACCCCTGCCAGCCTGGACATGGGCCCTGGGCCGCACGCCTGGCGCCACCTGGCTCCAGTCGCTGGATGTGGCCGCCCTGGCCCGGCAGCCCATCAGCCGGCGCCTGGGCGTGCTCAACACCCTCAGCGACCTCCTGACGCGGCTTAAGTACCAGCTCAAGGTGACGGGTGGGACATGGAGAGGGTGGAGGTCATGCACCGGTGGATGAAGGATGGAGGCCGCAGCGCAGATGCGTGGCATCGTCTGATGTGCCGGCCAGCTTGCGCGAACAGCACGTCGTGTGCTGATCAACCTGTCACTCGCGGCGGCGAACCTGCCTCGCCTGCGCCATCCCAGGCCTCGCACCTGGATCCTCACATAATCATACCTCCCCCTTGCCCCGTTCCTTGCCTCTCCAGATCGTACCTGCCGGACTTCATGGTCCTGGCCCTGGGCCTGATGGAGACCGGGCTCCGGTCGCTGCCGGGCGCGGCTGGCGACGCGGCGGCGGCCGCCCCCCCGGAAGAGAGGGCCTCCTCCGAGGAGGGCAGGGGTGCGCGCACGCTGCGAACCCAGGGCATGCGCCTGCTGGCCGAGATGATCGAGCTGAGCGAGGCCGGGCCGGGGGGCCTGGCCTTCCTCTGGCCTCGCCTGATGGCGGCGGCGGAGGGCTGGCTGCCGCGCCTGGTGCCGGAGGCAGCGGGGCAGGAGCCGCCCGCGCTGATGGAACTGGCTGCGGTTCTGGCTCAGCGTCCCGACCTGGCCGCCCTGCTCGCCGACGCCGAGTGGAGGGCGGAGGGGCCGGGGCTGGAGGCGGCGCCGGCCGTGGACGCCGAGGACCCTGATGACCACACTGTTGCCGGCAAGCATCACCCTCGGCAGAACTCCTACGTGCTGACCCCAAGGCCCGAGGCCTGGGCGGCAGACGCCCACGTCGGCTCGCGCCTGCTGGAGCAGGTGGTCGCGGCGCTAGGCAGCCCCGGCTGCTCCCCCGCCGGCCGCGCCGCCGCGCTGGGCGTCGCCGAGGCGCTGGTCGGCCTGCCCGACTCCGGGCTGGCGGTGCTGCTGACGCGCCACCTGGGCCCGCTGCTGGCCGGGCTGCAGGCCCTCATCGTGGCCGTCTGGCAGCAGCAGACGGGGCGGGGGGGAAACCCCCACCTGCTCTCCGGCGCGGGCGCCGGCGCACGCGCGAAGCGCGGGTCCCCCGGCGGCGCGGATCCGCAGGCCCTGGCCGCGCGGGCGCTGGACCTGCTGGTGGTGGTGGGGCAGGAGGCCGCGACCCCGGCGCTGGCCTGCCAGCTCACCGCCGCGCTGCTGCCCATGCTGGCGGCGCCCGGCGGGAAGCTGACCGAGGCGCAGCTGAGGCTGGTGGTCCGCGCACTGGCCGTGCTGGCCGCGCTCTGGCGGCGCTGCGCCGTGACAGCGGACGCCGGGGCCTCGGCTGCCGCGCCAACCGTCGCAGAGGGCTCCGACTTACTACGCCGCGTGCTGGCCGCGCTGGGCCCGCTGGCGGGGCGGCCCGAGCCTGCGCTGGCGCGGGTGCTGGCCGACGCCGCGGCCGCCTGCGCGGGCGCGCTGGGCTGTCCCGCGCACATCGCCGCGGCCCGCACCCTGGTGGAGCTGGCCTCGCTGGACCCCGCGGGCGTGGACGACCCCGACTACGACCGCCGCCTGGCCGCCTTCCTGAGCCTCAAGGCCCGCGTCTGGCGCGAGCTGGCGGAGGGCGAAGGTGTCGACGCCGTGCCGGCCTCGCTTGTGCTGCACCGCGCGGCATCGGACCTGCGCAATGCCGCCGACCTGGGCCTGCGCACCGCCGCGGCCGAGTGTCTGGACCAGTTCCTCATCGCCGTGGTCGAGGTGGCGGGTGGCGATGCAACCGCCGAGGACACCGCTGGCGCCAAGGACACCTGCAGAAATGCTGACGGCACGGCCATCCCATCCATCCTCGCACCGCCAGGATCAACCTCGCCGCACCCGCTGGTGCTGGCCGCGCAGCGCGTGCTCTTCCCCTCCTTGAAGCGGGGGTTGACGGCCGTGTCGCAGGCGGTGCGGTCGGAGCACCTGGCGCTGATGCGCACGCTGGCGCTGGCGCTGCCACGCCAGTACCCGGGCCTGGCCGCGCTGGCCAGCCGGGAGGACCCGGAGGTCGACTTCTGGCTCAATGCCGCGCACATCCAGCTGCACCGGCGCGCGCGGGGGCTGGCGCGCCTGGCGCGCCCGCTGCGCGAACCCGACGCGCTGTGCACGCTGGGCCTGGGCGTCATGCTGGGCGTGCTGGCGCCCCTCCTCCAGGCGATGGTCGTGGAGGGCGGCGGCTCGGGCACGGCCATCATGCTGGCCGCGGGCGGGCACGAGCCCAAGGCGGGCGACGTGGCGGTCACCGCCAACGTGACCGACGCGGCGGTTGGCGCGCTGGGCGCGCTGGGCGCGGCCCTGCCCTGGACCGCGTACTCGCAGGTGCTGGGGCAGGCGCTGCGCGCGCTGCGCCTCCACGCCGACGGCCCGGCCGCCAAGCCCGTGGTGCGCGCCGTCTGCTGCCTGCTGGACAACTTCCACTTCCTGGGTGGGGAGGAGGACGGGGGGGAAGCAAGCGACATGGAGGCCATCCACCGCTACCTGGTCAAGTGAGGAGGCAGGGGCTTTGGAAGGAGGTTAGGGATTGGGAAGGAGATACAGGTGGGTGCTGGGGAGGGCAAGGGTGGAAGACGTGTTCATATGCGGCCCACACCACTGCTCCCCCAGGATGTGGAATCAACATCGTCTCCGCCTTCCTCTTCACATCGACATAACCAACCACTTTCTCACAACCCCTCCTCCCTCACACCTTACACCCGCAAACTCCCACAGGCAAGTCATCCCCGACCTGCGCAAGCACCTGGTGGTCAACTCCGAGACGGTGCGGGCCCCGGTGGCGCTGGCGGTGGTCAAGGTTCTGCGCCTGCTGCCGGAGGACGCGGCGCGCGCCGAGTTGCCGCGCGTGCTGCAGAGTGTGGCAAACCTGCTGTCCAAACCGCTGCAGCGCATCCGCGACGACGCGCGCGCTGTGCTGGTCTCCATGGCGGTGGAGCTGGGGCCCGCCTACCTCCCCTTTGTCATCGACGTCATCATGGTGAGCAGTGCGAGGGGGGGGTGCCTGAGAGGGAACAGAGGTGATGGAAATAGTCGCTCTGGCATGCGCCGCCGCTTGCTGGGTTACCTTGAGTAGCTCAATCAGCCCCCCAAACAATGTGAAACCAACAAACTGCACAGGGGGCCTGCCCGCTGCGAGGATTTGTGGCGCACGTCCGCGGCTACACCATCCATGCGGTGGTGGAGGGCCTGGCGGCGGCGGGCGCCCCCGCCGGCAGCCTGGACCCCTGCGTGCCCATGCTACTTCCCATCGTGGAGGCGGACATGTGGGGCGAGCTGGTGGATGCGCGCGAGGCCACCCACTTCTCGGGCGCGTACAAGGAGGCAAAGCGCTGCCGCGCGCAGGAGCTGTACGCGCTGATGTGGCGCCTGGCCGGCTTTGAAACCCATGCGGGGGAGCTGCTGGCGCTGGTACACCAGCACCTGGACGACGCCGGCGGCGCCAAGGGCCGCGCTCGCATCTCCAGCCTGCTGGCGGCGTTGGTCCGGGGCGCGCTGGCTAATGCCGGCGCCGACGCGCGCGCTGTGTGCGTCTTTGTCTACGCCACGCTGGAGGCGGGGCTGGAGGGCGAGGAGAGCGCGCGCGCCGCTGCCGAGGCCGCCGCGGGCGTGGGCGGGGAGGGGGCGATGGAGGAGGCAGGAGATGGGGGTGCAGCTGCCGGGCACACCGGCGGCCTGGCGCCGCCTGCGCGCACCCACCACCTGCCCCACACCGAGCTCATCGTGGAGGCGGCGCTGGGCGTGCTGGCGGGCGCGCTGCGCCGGGGTAAGGTGGCGGTGCGCTCGCGCGAGACGGCGCCGCTGCTGGACCCACTGCTGCCGCTGCTGGTGCGCGCGCTGCGCAGCCGGCACACGCCCAGTGTCTCGCTGGCGCTGGCCACGCTGGGCCTGCTGCTGCAGAGCGCGCTGCCAGGCATGGAGGCCGCGGTCCCGACCGCGTATGAGGTGGGGTGGTGGTGCTTTTCTCTGGGGATTTGTATGCCATCCGGGGAGGAGGGGGGATCTGCAAGGTCCACGGGAGGGGTCAAGCCCCTGGCGAGTGTGAACCCTGGCTGGCCGGGCTGGCCGGGGTCTGCGAGGACATGCTGATCAGGGTTGAGGGCTAGAACTCCGCCGCACGATGGTCGCCTGGCCGCAGCTCAGACGCGTGGCCCGACCCCTTCTCCTCCCTCCACCAAAACTCAGGAGGTGACCCGACTGCTGAACGGCTGCCCCGGGACCGACACCCCCCTGGCCCAGGAGTGCTTCCGGCTGCTGGCGGGCCTGCTGCGCGCCAGCTCCACCTTCCAGCCGCCACGCGCCGACCTGCAGCTGCTGCTGGGCACCCGCCTGGGCGACCTGGAGGACAGCGTGGGCGGCGCCACCTTCGGCCTGCTCAAGGCCGTGCTGGCGCGGCGCCTGGTGGTGCCCCAGGTCTACGACGCCATGCACCGCCTGGAGCGGCTGATGGTGCGCAGCCAGGGCGCGTCGGTACGCGAGGCCAGCGCTGCCTGCCTCCTGCAGTACCTCCTGGACTACCCGTTGGGCACGCCGCGCCTGGACGCCCACCTGCAATTCTTGCTGACCAACCTCACCTACCAGCACGAGACGGGGAGGTGAGAGGGTGTGGGTGGGTGGGGGGGTTGAGGGGGGGGGTTGAGGGCACGGGTGGCTGGGGGCGGGCGAGCAGGGGGGGTCCATGATACCCATGGATTGCCAGCCTGGCCCCCGGGCGCAAAGCTGCATTTGCGTGCCGTGGACTCGGGGTAGTGGCCTGAACGCAGCCTCATGTGCCGACATCTCATCCCATCAGAAGCCGCCCAGCCTGCGGCGCCCACCCTCACAATCGCCTGCCCTTGATCAACCCTCGACACGTCATCACCTCCCCCTGGACCACATTCCACCCACCCCTGCGGCACTCACCTCCACCAACCCATTTCCCTCTGTCCAACCCCTCCTCCTTCTTTCCCCACACCTCTATCCGCCTTGCCAGGCTCGCGGCGCTGGACATGATCTGCACGGTGCTGAAGAAGTTCCCGGACGAGGTGGTTGTGCGCTGGGCTGACACCGCCCTCCTCCCCCTGGTCACGCGCCTCGTTTCCGATGCCTCCAGCGCCTGCCGCGGCAGGGCCGGCGCGGCGCTGCTGACGCTGCTCCAGCGCGCGGGCCCCGCCCTCCGCGCCACGGCTGCCGATTTCTGCCTGCAGTGGCTGACCGGGGAGGACGGGAGGCTGACGCGTGCGGCGCTGCAGCTGGCGGGCGTGCTGGTCGAGGCCGATGCCGAGGCGGCCGCCGGCCGGGTGCCGGCCCTGCTACCGGTGGTGGGCCGCTTGGTGGCAGCGGGGGACGGCAAGGGCGCGGAGGGCTGGCAGGAAGCCTACCACGCCCTCCTCCTCCTGGAGAAGGTGAGGCAGTGCGATGGTTTCTTTGTTGCCATTGGGGTGGCTCTCGAGTGAGGTGCCATGCACCGGATGTAGCATATTACCTTGCGACTCCAACCCCACCCTTCTCTTCCCCCACTACCGCATCGCAAGGTGCACGCAAAGCTGCCGGCTGCGCTGCAGCCTGGCGCCTCACCCGCCGCGGCCGAGAGCTGGGCCGCCGCAGTCGGCGCGCTGGAGCACCCCCACTTGTGGGTGCGCCGCGCCGCGGGGCGCCTGATCCTGGCCGGCCTGGCCGCCCCCGGCGTTAGGCCCGCCCTGCTCCCCAGCCCAGGGTCCGCGGGGGCCCTGGGCCGCGCTTTCCTCGCGCAGCTGGACGGCGAGCACGCCGACGAGGCGCTGGCCAAGCAGGCGGTGCGTGGGCTGGTCTTGCTGGCCCCTGCCGCGCTCGAGGACGACGCGGCTGCCGGTCGGCTGCCCACCACGCTGTGGCTGGCAAAGCGTGCGCCCAGCGGCCTGGCGCGCGCGGGGCTGCTTGCTGTCGCTGGCAGCTCGGTGGCGACGTCCGATGAGGTCGAGGCCGACGAGGGCGGCGGCGTGGAGGAGGACAGCAACGCCGAGGCCGAGGCCAAGGCCGTGTCCGGCGCCGAGGCGGCCTCCAGCGACGACGAGGGCGAGGAGAACGGCGACGCGCATGGCGGCTCGGCTGCCGCCGGCACGGCACGACCCGGCGACGGCTACACGAGCCTGGCGGCGCTGCTGCGTGGCGTGGCGGCGCTGGCCGACGACCGCGCGTTCACGCGCGCGACGGCGCGGCAGGCCGCACTGCGCTGCCTTGCGGCGGTGGCCTCGCGCCTGGGCGCCGAGGGCGTGCTCCCTTTCCTCCCCATCCTACTGCGCCCGCTGGCCCGCATCACGGAGCCGGGGGCGACGGGGGACGGGGAGGAGACAGTCGGCCTGGCGCGGGAGGTGCTGGACCACCTGCGAGCGCTGGTGGGCGCCGAGCGGATGCTCCTGGCGCACGCCGCTGCGCGCGCCGGGCTGGCGCGGCAACGCGCACAGCGCCGCGCGGCAGACGCGAGGAGGGTGAGTCTGGGGGGGGCGGGGCAGGAGGACAAGGGTGCTATTGCACAGGCAGGCGGGGGCCGGGCCTTGTGTGGGGGTCGATCATGTAGAAGATTGTGGATACTAGGATGCAAAATCCACACGGCCATCGCTCGTGGCAGGGGCAAGAGCACGTGTCGAGAGGGGGTTGTGCATGCTGACATGGCGCCACCCTCCGGGGCTTCTATCAAGCGGCTTGTGGGGTAGCCTGCGGCATCATCTTGCCACTCACCCCCTGTGCCACTCCTGAGCTTGACCATATGGGTGAATGCCCCACGCAACTCCCATTCTCGCAGAACCTGGTGGACCCGGAGGCGGCGGCGCAGATGCGCATCAGCAAGCAGCGCAGGAAGAAGTCAGGGCGCGCCAAGGTTGTTGAGGAGCAGCGACGCCACCGCCAGGCCGGACACTCCAAGCGTGGCGGCCGCGGCGGGGTCGCCAAGCTCGGCGGCCGCGGCGGGCGGCGGTGAGGGCCTCATGCCGGTTTGTCCTCTGGATTGTGCCAAAGTGGATATCCCATAACAAGACTGCCCGACCGCGGCCGTGTACCCAAGCAGCAGCCTGTATTCATATGCCCGTGCCCCCACCTTGATTCGAGATGAGTGCGGGAGGGGGGGCCAATGCCCACACTGACATGAAACTTTCACTGCAGAGCCCCATGTTCTGCATCTGTACACTGATCAACGGTCCTGGCGCAGACAAGGAGGGGGTGGAAGAGGAAGGTCAAGCGGGGGTCACGTGGCTGAGGCTGGAAGGTGCAGAGCGTGGTGTGAAGTGCCCTGCTGACATGTGCAGGTGCTGGGGAATGGAGGGCGCCAGTGGGCAAAGCAGGGGACAGAGCAATTTCGTGGTGGAAGACGGTGGTCTTGGCGGCAGGAAGGGTCGCAGGTGGGGGCAAGGAAGGTGAGGTCCAGCATCACAAGGTCTGCAGCCCTGGTACTGCGCCCGGGGATTTGTGTAGTACCACGAGGGTGGTGGAACACCGTCTTGTGAGAGCAGTCCCTCTCGCAGGCCTGCTGTACCGAGCTTGCAAACAGTCAGGCCCCGGCTGCCGGACTGGGCTGGAACCCCTGCAGGCGTCGGTCCAGGTACTTGTACAGGTCGGGTCGCGAGGCGACCCTCTCCTCGTACATGCAGCCCTGATCGCCACTGAACTGAGAATCCAGGACCTGCGGGGTGCGGGGGTTGGAGGGGGGGGTCCTGTGCTGAGAGGGTAGACCTGTGCTTTCATGGCCTTGGAACGCTGTGAGTGCAGTACAAAGCGGGGATGGGTGAGACATCACAGGGGCCCTGGATGAGACGAGGTTCATGAATGTGCATCTGTGTGACGCCCTCTGGCAGCTGGGTGCCCCTGGACCACCACGGTTTCAAGAAACCTAAATAGCCCTGATCTCCGATTCTCGAGCGCATGCACCGCCCTCTAGGCCGTGCCTCGCACCTTGATGATGACATTGTAGAGGTAGGGGCAGAGCACCCTCAGGAGGAAGCTGACGAGCACAGAGGGGACGTAAGGGAAGTGCGGGTCAAAGTCAAGATGAATGTCGGCCAGGGACCTGTTCAAGGGGGGAGAAAGAGTGGTGCCTCAAAACACGAGCTGACCCAGACATGGTCCCCGTTTACATTCATGATTGTGTCAGGGTTGCCACACATGGACCTCATTCAACCACAAAGGACAACGTCGCCCCTGGAATATGAGCACCACATGCCCAACGCACACCCACAGGCGCTCACCTGGGGATGCCGTCTGGCCCGGCGGGCAGCGCTTGCAATCGGATGCCAGACCCCGGCAGCACATCGATGGTGCGCCGCTGAGAAACCGCGGTGGGGAGCCGGGGGTCCGACACGTCCAGGTCCTCACTCTCAAACAGGACCAGCAGGCTACCGGGTGGGGTGGGGTGTGTGTGTAAGGGGGAACGATGAGGCCTGAAGCCGAGGGGGACGATGCAGTCAAGGGCACCAGACGCCAGCAGACTTGTATGCAGGCAAGCACCTGAGCGCCATGCCCCTTGCCAACCGCCCCTGCCTGCACTGGACCCATCATACCTGCTGTGCTCATCTGCCAGATCAAACGCCCTGACATTGAGCAGGATGTTGGCATCCTTGAAGGGCGATGGAATCCACTGCAATGAGGGAAAGTAGTAGTGAGGGAGGGGGGGCCCTTGATGTCGAGCCATGGTCTGAAGGAGGCCTTGGGTCCCATGGCCTTGTCAGAAACTCCAGCACAATTGAGGCACGGACAAGTCTACCTCGCTGCCTTGCCCAGCAAATGATCATGTCCAGAGTCTCATCGCAGTCTACCTGCACCGTACCTGTCCCGTGTAGACCCTGGCCTCAAAGATGCTGGCGCGTTCCACCACCATCGGCTCCATGCACATCCTGCACGAGTTGTTTGGGGTTTTGAGGCAAAAGAAGTCGACATTCAGAAGCTCAGGCAGGCGACAAGTAAACATGCTCAAGGCATGGCTTGGGCAAAAATTCGTGCCACGAGGGTCAATCTGATTAGTATTATTATCGCAGTGGGCAGGGGCACGACCCCTGGGGTGGCAGGGCAGGATATCGTCCCATGCCATGCTTGATCATTCCTTCCCTAGCAAAAGCACATGCATGGATGTTTGCTGTCATCGGCAGGCAGGTGCCCCACAAGCATCGAATGATGTCCTTGTGAGACCCACCCCTTTGACCAAACCCCAACACACGCGCACACTTGGCGGCCCCCCCCCTTCCCCCCCCTCCCACCCCCCTCTCTTACTTGTTCCACTGGCTCATGAGGTCCCACTCATGCATCATGGCCACCAGGTGCTTGATGGGGTGCGCCACCTCCACCTTCATCTTCAGGTGGTGGCGGCTGGAGTGCGGCACCTGGCGGTACCACAGCGACAGCACGTCCTTGTACTGCAAGTGGCGCCAGGCCGAGTCTCCATCGGCCGCCAGCATTTCCAGCGCCTCCGCCACCTCCCTCTCCTGCGCCAGCACCGCGTCGCAGTCCACACCGGCGGCGGACGCCGGGCCCAGGCCTAGGAGCCGCAGCGCGGCGGCCGCCGCCAGGGGGCGCCGCGCCAGCAGCGCGGCCTGCAGCTGCGCCAGGGCCTCCTCGGGCGAGGCGGGCGCGTCCTTGTCGGCCAGGGGCTTGACGAGGGGGAGGAGGGAGGGCTCCAGGGCGGCTGGCAAGGGTCGGGAGGGGCGAGGGGCGCGCTCTGGCTTGCGCGTGGGTGCGAGGCTCAGGTACCGCTCCAGGCGGAGGATGGCTTCCCTCTTCACACGGTCCTGGAGGGGAGTTGCGGGGAGGAGAGGCATGTTTGTTGGACGAGAATACAGAACCCAAACCTCTCACATTGATCACAGGCCCTACCTCAGCCCCCCCGCCCGTCATCAAGTGGACAGGCCCTGCACCAGCAGCAAGCGTCCGCACCCACCCACCCACCTTCGACCAGCTCATGCTGGCTGTATTCTCCAGTGGGAGGGAGGCCTCCCTCACCAGCTCCTCCCATGCCTCACTCGTCACACTCTGGTAGTCACTGGAGTCGCAGCTGATGGCGGAGGCGGCAGAGGATGGCCCCCTCGACCGCAGCGGCATCAGGGTTGTTGATGCCGTGCCGGGTCCCGAGCGACCCTGTTTCGCAAATGTCGCGGCATCCGCGCAGCCAGATGACGGACAGGCTGTCCCTTTGAGGGATGTGTCCTGGTGAGGAGGGGGTTGGAGCACATCTGGCTTCCCACACAGCTGGCCCATGTTCGGGTTCGCCACTTGCGCAAGGCACCCCCCGCTCTTGTCGACAAAACGGGGGTTATGGTCACCCCTCCGTCTCGGATCTGGGGTAACGCATGTCCAGGGGCATTCAGATCGACTAATGCTGCATCCTGATGCGCAGTCTTGGAGTCGGGATGCCCTCTTTGCACCCCAGCTGCACTTAGATACCGGGACGACCCCCGCCCTTTCCAAAGGGTTTGAGAGCCGGGCGCTCGCCACCCCGTGGGTGATGTGATTCGGAGTGTCAGCCTGAAGCCTCTGTGACCGAGAAAGCAATACTCCCTCCCAGGAGTAGCCTTGAAAACCTTGTATCGCAGCGCAAGCTTCACCACCGCGGAGCGCTGTGTAGCCTGGTCTCTTTTTCACGTGCCACCGCCCGGTGGTCGAGGCTCGACCACCCCTCGCACCCCGCACCACATTCCCGGCAAAGCTGGTTTGTAGACCACCCTGTCCGGACTAGGACAAGTAGGACCCATCCCCCATCCGCCCGCTCCGTCCCTGGCCGCGTGGATAATTGCTGGAACTCATGCCACTTTCCGGCCGGCGCGCATGAAGGCCCTCACATCCCCAGCCCACTGCTGGGCGCCCAGCCTGAAGGCACCCCTCCACACCTGCCCGCCCCGCGTTGCACCGGTGAGTGGCCCTGGAGATCGGTCGTCCGGGTGGGATGGCGAAGCGGGCCGGCGCCCGTGTGAGCGCCTCCGGTCCACAAACACTCTCAGTCTGGGCACAAGAGTGTGCCCTCCTGCTCACGGCCTCTCCTGTGCACACTTTAGAGCGCTGAAGACGCCCCTGGATACAAAATTATCACCTCAGTGGATCCTCTGAAACCCCTGACCTCTCCCGTCTCCCCTCACCCCTACCTGGTCCCTTGCATCACCCTCCCTGCATCCACCATTTCCTCCCTGGCCCCCCCTCACAATCACCCTCCACCCATCCCAACCTCACCCTCCCTCCCTCCCTCCAACCTCCCAGGGACGTCGTCGGCGTGCCCCTCCCGCCCGCTCGGTCGGGCCCCCGGCGCTCGAGTCGCTGGAGTCGGACGGCTCCCGCTCCCCCCCGCCGCCCGTGCCCTTGCCCCACCCCCCCGCCGCCTCCTCCTTCCACGTCCAGGGCACTCACGTGTCGGTGCGCGGCATGCGCAAGCACTACCACACTGACCGCGGCCTGTTCCGCGCGGTGCAGGACGTGGACGTGGAGGTGGCGCCGGGCACGATCACCGCGCTGCTGGGCCCCTCCGGCTCCGGCAAGACCACGCTGCTGCGCCTGATCGCGGGGCTGGAGACGCCCACCGCGGGTGCCATCGCGTTCGACGGCGTGGACATGACGCAGCGCTCCATCCAGGACCGCGACGTGGGGTTCACCTTCCAGGGCTACGCGCTGTTCAAGCACATGACGGTGGCGGAGAACATCGCGTTCGGCCCGCGCGTGCGCCGCCTGCGCATCGACGTCGAGGCGCGCGTGGCCGAGCTCCTGGCGCTGACGGGGCTGGCGGGGTATGGGTCGCGCTACCCGCCGCAGCTGTCCGGCGGGCAGCGCCAGCGCGTGGCGCTGGCCCGCGCGCTGGCCTGCAGCCCGCGCCTGCTGCTCCTGGACGAGCCCTTCGGCGCGCTGGACCCGCTGGTGCGCAAGGCGCTGCAGCGCTCGCTGCGCGACATCGTGCGCGAGATCGGGGTGACCACCATCATGGTCACCCACGACCAGGAGGAGGCCTGGGAGCTGGCCGACAGCGTGGTGCTGTTCAACGCTGGGCGCGTGGAGCAGGCGGGGCGCATGGAGGACATCGCCGCCCGGCCCCGCTCGCCCTTCGTCATGAACTTCGTGGGCGACGTCATGCACCTTCCCGCCGGCTGCCTCTTCGTGCGCAAGATGGGGCTGACAACCGCCCGCCCCTTTGTCATGGTCAGGCCCTCCGACGTCAGCCTGCACGCCGACTACCGCCAGCCCCGCATCTGCCCCGCCACGGTCATCGCCAAGACGCTGGTGGGCTGGACCGCGCGCTACTACCTCCAGTTTGACGACGGGCTGGTGAGGGGAGGGGGGGACTGGTCCAGGGCGACTCGGGGCACGACCTGTGAGGGTGGACACTGGGAGGCCAGGGTAGGTGGTGGGGTGGCTGGGAGCACATGTTCCTGCGATGGTGCATTTTGGGCGGGAGCCGTGCGCCGTGTGTCAGGGGCGGTGTCATCTCGCTGCGACACCAGGGCATGGCCATGTGGTGCTGGCGTGATGCCACACGACACAAGCCCACCCCACCCTCACATCGCACAGGAGATGGACCTGCTGGTGTCCAAGAAGGAGGACAGGGCGCTGTACGACTTTGGGGTGAAGCAGAGGGTTTACGTGTCCTGCGACCCCTCCCTCATGCTCCCCTTTGAGCCGGCAGAGCTGAACGACCCGCTCAGCGAGGAGGTGCTGCTGTCCCGCCTGGGCTGAGGCTCTGCTCGCCATGCAAGCCCCTCCGTGCCTTGCCCCCCGCAAGGCCTGCTTGTATCAGAGGGGTGCGACGGCGAGTGGTGTTAATATTCATCAGGCTGACGACATGATGGGATGTCAGGACGGTCGGTGAGAGAAACGGGTCCTTGGGGTTACACAAGGGAATGACGAGTGTTATTCTCCGACAACACCTTCCCGGTATATGATGCGACGGAAACTGGTAAAGAAACCTTGAACGCCTTCCCCCTTCGAAATGCACTCTCCTAACGGAGGCCTAGGTTCGAACCCTAGTGCGGGCATACCCTAGCCCGTATGACGGAGTGGTCTAACGTGGTGCACTTAAGAGAATGACCTTTTGAGCTTTCGTCCACCACAACTTGTTGCAGTGGATGGCGGTAGTGACCGGCTCAACAGACATACAGACCATTGGTTGAGAGACGAGACCTGCACCACCATGGGAGGCCCTCCTACAGCAGAGGTTTGGCGTGGGCCTGTGGCAAGCTCAAGCAATGGACATGCAGCCAGCCATGCATACCTTCTGCTCCCAAGCTGCTTTCGTCAGGTAGGGATGTATGACGAGCCAGGCTCACCCAAGTAATCACATTGTAATTGCCATTGTCTCTGGCCAGCCGTCCTGCCGAGCAACCCTGCAGAGTTAACCATGCATACTGGTCTGAATTGAGTTCTGGCCTGAGATAGGCAAGAGCTCGGGGTGGGTGCTGGGCCTGCAGGATGCATAGCCAGAGTATCCAGATCCTTGCACCTAGAGATTCGTTCATGTTCAGCTTTCGTGGTATACCAGCTCACTACCGACACATGTACCTTTGTGAGACAAGATGAGGCGCTCACGACGCTCGGCCCAAGTGTAGAGACGGCCGCGACTTATGTACATCAACGACGCCACAACGGTATTGAACAGGGCGCAGTCCAAGGACTCCAGAGCGGTCCCTCTTTCGGTGTATGGATGACATGGACTTGACGGCATCCACTCTCATAAAGCCTGTGCATCAATCCTGCGCCGTATCATCAAGTGACAGGGTTTTTAGGCGAGAGACAATGTTGTGTACGATCCAGGCTTTTTACTCAGAGTGCCATCTACAACTGACCTGACAGCCCGCCTTTATACCATCTCATGATTGATCATTGCAGTGGAGCCTGTTGCAGAGTTGCGACAGAGGCCCTTGGTCTGGTAATTGACGATCTCACAAGGAGGGCCAAGACGGAGGAGAACACATTGATGATGGATGTCAGTGCCGCATCCTTACTAAGAGTCTGCTAGTGACCTACTGACTGCCTGCTCATCAACCTTGCCAGTGATGATCATGGCTACAACAGGATAGTGACTGCATCCTCCTTACGAAGGCTGTGCGCAAGCGATATGCACTTCACTCACAGAATTCTCCTTTCACTGCAGTTTTGCCAAACGGCGAGCCTTGGTGGATTGCAGCTCTCCTGCATCAATGGCAGGTCAGAGAATTGGGACCCCCTGTGAAGGGGCAATTTCAGGGGCTCAGGGCCCCAACCATTCTGGTCCTTTTATGAACAAACTGCTTTACATAAGCTCAAAACCTAAATGCAGCACAGGTCGTCCATTGGCTGCAAGGATGGACTTCACATCATGCGCTCAAGTGTAATCCACCGCCTACCAGGGTTGGGGAGGATCAAGTGCCTTCCACCCTGTACCCGGCAAATACATTACTATTCCGAGTGCCCCGTCCCGCCCAGTGTTCAGGCGCGTTGAGGGTCATCATTCTGTGTACATTTTCGTCAATAAGAACATGTCCTCAGCAGGATCCGCCCTCCCTTGTCAGGGTCTCAGACGGTGAGACCGCACCCGCCAACAGGGACTCAAACGCCATGACCGATGCGCTGTACCGCAGCTCCAGCATTGGGGAGAGCCTCATGGGCGCTCTCAAACTGCTTCAGGACGATGGCAAGATCTCTGATGTTCTGGCGATGCGAGTCATCCAGGAGGTCAGCATGGTGATGATCTCAGCAGAGTCCAGGGTGCTTGTGCGTGCATCGCCGGGTCTTCCCCTCGCCTGCGACTGCCCTCCCGACGCGTCACGCAGTTCGATGCCGCAATACTGAGGGCTCTAGATAAGCGAGTCACCGCCAAGTCATCATTCAAGGGCCAGCTCGACACGTATCGATACTGCGACAACGTGAGAGGGACTCCCCCTGGCGTCCTTCATGCCTGCATGCCCACCCAGGGCGGGTGGAGGCAGACAATTCCCCCTTAAATACTCCCACCCCGCTTAACACGCCCCCTCACCCCCCATTATCTTCATCCGTGCAGGTCTGGGACTTTGAGCTGCGGGACGTGATTCTGAAGCTGAGCCCCACACAGGGCTCCAGCAAGCGGGATGAGCTGGAGCTGGCAGCGAAGCACATGAGGCTCATCCTGGTGGACAGCAAGGTCGTCACAGCAGCGGCGGGGCAGCATGCTGCAGGGTGACGGCCTGCCAGCGCGGCCGCGATGCAAACAAGTAGGCCTGGCTTGCCCCTTTAGGATATGCGCAAAGGCCTGGGCATTTCGCCTGCATCCCCCCTGGCAGAGCTGCTGCCGGGGAGTGGAGAGAAGGGCAGGCGCTGCCCAGCAGCAAGGATCTTGGCTGCCTGGAGGGTCATGCTGCATGCACATGGCGCTGCAGGACTCGAGCCATGGGCTGGCAAGAGCGCCACTGAGTGCCACCCCCTGCCCCTTACAGCACATCTCCATTGAAACAGCCGCAAGCGCTTGGCCCCAATGACCTGCCTTCTCTCATACATGCAAGCTCGCTCAGGACTTGGCGCGGAAACAGGGGAGTGGGCACTGGGCTGGCAAAATTGGGGAATTCAGGGGACCTCTGCATGCATGAGGGGCATGGCTTGGCGTCATGGCGACGCCAGGCCCCTGGGCGGCGCCAGCTCAGCCTCCAGCCTGACGTAGGCGCTGCTGTGTGCTGTCCTCGTGTGCCGCAGCCACCACAGCACGCACAGCGCGGCGCCCCAGCCGACCGCCAGCATCCCGGCTCCCAGGCCAAACACACCCGCCCCGCCCATGGGGCCGTAGAGTCCCCCCGCCAGTAGTGCGCCGACGCCTGCTCCTATTCCGGTGTAGAGCCCCGAAAACACGCTCTGTAGGGGATCACAGGAGGGCAGGATGTGCGCAGAAAGGTGCCGGAATGCGATGCAGGGATGCTGGTTTGGCGGCTGTGAAAACAGAAGTGTGCATCGTTCTGTCGGCGTGAGGTAGCGGCCTGTCAGGCTTGAAGGATCGGCTCCCCCCGCAGGCAACAGTCAGCAGTCAGGACGGGCTTGACAAGGGTGGGACCAAAGCGACTCGATTTCACTCAACAGGTTCATGCAGGTGGTGATCGAGGCACGTGTGAGTGGGGGCCTCTGCCAGCCAGGATCGCACCATGACGAGCTCACCTGGGTGGTGGACCTTGCGTGGCGGGGAGCCGTGCGCTTGACGTACACGCACCCCGCCGTCCAGCCGAGGGCGAAGGTGGCGCCCTGTAGGAGCTCGATGCCCAGAACCAGCCAGGGAGTGGGTGCCAGGGGGAGCAGCTGCATTGAGTTAGATTGTGGGGAGTTGTAGGGTGAGGTTGCGGGGTCACGCAAAGGGGGTGTGGAAAAGCATCGAGCTTGCATCTGGGGGGACGGGCTCCCAGCACGCCGCCCTAGCTGCCAGGTGGCGAGCTGAGTCGCAGTAGGTTGTGCAGCAGGCATGCTGCAGCGCCGGTGGCATCAACCTGGCCGGCCCGAGCGCCACGCAGCCCAAAGCCCCCTCCTGACCCACCGCATAGCAGGTCAGGCGCAGGAGGAAGGCTGCCATGGAGAGGTGGAAGGCGGGGAGGACGCCCACCCTCTCCAGGATCTTGCCGCTGAAGAAGAAGACAGGGATCTCCGCTGCGCAGTTTGCAGACAGGCAGAGGCCCAGCAGGGTCCCATGGGCTCCTGGATCAGCATGATGTGGGGTTGGAGAGGAAGAGAGGGATGAGTGAGACGTCTCAGCCCGAGAGCTTGGGAGAGGAGGGAGATCTCCGGAGCTAGACCGGGGGGCTGACGTCGGGGGCGCGACTTTGGGCCAAATCCTCGGCCTTGTGTCACAGTCTTGTTCGCATGCCTACACGTCTGCCCAACCCGCTCGAGCCCCGCTCCCCTCCACACTCACCCAGGTCGCTGAGGAAGAGGAAGAGGTAGGCAATGAACCCATTCCCGATGCCCATCAGCAGCGTGACCCAGAAGAACACGGCGACGTCGGGTCTCAGCACCAGCCGCCCCACCACCGTCCAGACACCCCCCTCGCCCCCCGCGGCGCTGCTGCCGCCCTCGCTGCCAAAGGAGCACACCGACTCGCCCGCATCGCTGCCCGCCGCCAGCGCCTGGGCGCGCGTGGGCGTGAGCAGGCTGGCAGCCGCAGCATTCCTGGAGAGCATGGAGAGGGGGATGCCGGGGGAGGGCGTGGCGGCCCCCGCCCGCGGCGAGGCGGACAGCCCGGCCAGGGACCCGTCGACCGTCAGGTGGAGCACGGTGTAGGGCCGGACCGGGCGCGCAGTGGGCGGCGCAGTGGGGCTGTCGATGCCCGAGGGGCCAGCGGGGTCCGGCCCTGGGGTCGAGCCGTCCAGCTCAGGCCCGGGGGTGCCGGGCCCCCGACGGGCCTCCGCCTCCATGCCAGCCGCCGCGGCCGCCGCGGCCGACTGCGACTGCCAGGCGAGGACGGGGGACAGCGGGGTGACAGAGGCCCTGGCGGCCCATTCCAGCTGCGCCAGGGTTGGCGTGCCCGCCGCCGCCGCGGCCCACGGCCGCTCCGGAGGGGCCTCGGCCACATCCTTGGTGGTCGCATCGGGCGGCGCAGGGAGAGCGGGGGCGTCGCCATGCTTGGCCCCCAGTCCCCCCAGCGGCAGGAGACAAGTGGGCAGCAGGGCCAGGGTGACGGCGCAGGCGTAGACCCCCAGTGCCGCCTGCAGGCCGTACCGCTCGATCAGCAGGCCGGCGACAGGGCTCATCCCCCCCCAACCCATGGAGGCCCACATCCGCGTCCGGCCGTACTGGCTGTCCTGGGGTGGCGGGAGGTTGGGGTGGGGGGGTGGAGTGGGCTGGGGATGGGGCCTGGAGGGCCTGGGAAGGTTGACGATGCAGGGCCCAGGCAGGGCATCATCCTGCGACCTGTGCCAGGCACCTGGCACGCCGCGCGGTGTGGAGAGTGCACGATCGCGGCCCTCTGCGTGCTGACGCAATACCTTCCCGCACCATCCTCTCATCCTGTGTGCTCTTGGCGCCCCGCTTGGAGGAGGAGAATATTGCGAGTTGTAATGAAACCCACCCCCCCTCTTCACAGCCTCACATCCACGGTGGCGGCCACGACCGCCGCCTCCACCAGGACGCTCATGGGGGCCGCCGCCGCCTCGCTGACGACGGTGTACACGAGGTTGGCGGCAAACCCAGTGCTGTGCGACAGCAGCACGCGGCCCGCGAGCGCCGCGAGGAAGGTGCCCACCAGCGCCGCGCGGTGCAGGCCCCAGGCGTCGGCGGCGGCCACCACCAGGTTGCCGGCGGGCGCGGAGACCCAGGGGCGGAGCGCGCACAGGACGCCGATCTGCATGGCGCCGAAGCCGCGCCCGCTGTAGAGCAGGATGAGGTACGGCACCATGCACACCGCGCCTATGTTGTACAGAAAGTACCATGCCTGCGGTGGGGAGGGGTGTGACAGGGTGGGGGAGGGGGTTCAAGGAAGCGTGTGGGTGGAGAAGAGCAGGCCGGGGCGGGGGGCCCTGGGCTGTGCCTGGTCGATCAATGTTGGAAATCCTCCCCTGCTGCCCTGGATCCGGGCCTCGGTTGACTCGCGTCAAGGTGATCATGCACCCACCGTTCCGCCCCAGCCGCCGCGCCTTGGCAATGATCATGTTCTCGGGGGCATCCACGCCCGTGCGAGCCCGCCGAGCAGCCCGCAGCACCCGGCACCCCCAGGCCCCGACGCTGGTGCGCATGCGGGCGGTGGAGATGCCCACATGGGGCATGCTGGCAGGGGTTGAGGGGTTCTGGAAGCTCTCGTCACATCCTCGACATTCGATTAGGATACCGATGTTAAGGTCCCGCTGGGATGAAGTGGTGGAGTGTGGCTGGGCGAGCAGTGGTCCATTGCTGCCTCCTCGACGTTACGCCTCCCTCCGGATTCTGACCGGAAGATCCACATCATCACGTAGCCGATCGCTGAGACACACCAACCGAATGCTTGGATGAATGATTCGCGTTGCAATCCCAGAGCATCACAATGATTGAGAGTCATGCGACATGGTATAGAGCATTCGGTTCCAAAACTTTGGTTTGAATATGGTTGGAAGTTCAGCCAAATGTAGGACATCGCGGGAGGGGGGGGGGGTTAGTATTTTCCAATGATGCATGGTGCAACACAGGTTGCAGAACGAATGGCGGTCAGTAGTTGGCAAGGTGCACGCATGCTGAGATCCCGTGCTGTTCTTATCGTTCTTCTGGTGTACCTGCAATTCGCAAGCCGTGGGCCGAATTCATGCAAATCCCACCTAGCCGGTGCTGTTGAGCGCTGCCAGGGTCGCAGCGGACAGCTGCCCCAGGGCACCAAACACCTGTGGAAGGGCCCAGGGAGGTATGCGATTGCCCTCGACACACTCGTGACATCACGAGGGCTGGCGTTGGGCACACGAGGCAGCGGCCATGTGGAAGCCAGGGTGTCGTTTGTTCCTTCCTCCTCAACACCAGTAGGAACGAGACCGGTGCACCTCCCGCCACACATCAGTTCATCACCCCGGCTTGCACAGGCTATCGCTTGGCCCCACTTCCTGTCCACGACCACCCACCCAAGCCGAGCCTCACCGACGCGAGGGCGGGGAAGACATCGGCGCCCCCTCCCTTCAGCAGCCTGTCCACTTCCTCCACCAGCAGGCGCAGTGCGGCGCCGTTCCCGGCGAGGGCCTCCTCCAGGCTGCCCCCCATGTGCTCCACCTGGGACAGGGCATCCAGCCGCTCCTGCAGCAGGGAGTCCACGTCCAGCCGGGACGGGTGGAAGGCGCGGAACGCCAGGATGGAGGCCAGCACCGCCGCGACCATGAGCCCCGTGGACCTGAGCCTTGCTGCAAAGGATGTGCCTGCGCCTGCGGCGAGGCATAAGGGGATTCGAGCTGGGGCTGACAGTGGGGCAAGGGCAGTGCAGCGTCGCGGGCATGGTTTGCAGTGAGAAAATGCATCGTTGTGAGGAAATGCATCGCTGGGAAACGCCTTTCCTTAGTCCACACTCTCGTTCCCCTGATGATGCTTTGACCCGAGTGCAGCCCACCTTGGCGCCGCGTCTGTAGGCCAGGCTCCTTATTCGACAGCGGAGCCGTGCCGATGTCCTCCTGGCTGGCAGGCATGGATGGAGGCGACGGCGGCGACGCAGGGGCCTGGAGCTGGCTGCATTCCTCGCCCCGTCGCTCCTCCAGGAGGAAGGCTGCCTCGCTTGGATGAGGGGTCGGGGTGGTCTCCACGTCCACCTCGGCCAGGGGGACCCCGGGCGGGAGGAAGCTGGTCTGCAGCTGGTCACGCTGCTCCAGGGAGAATCCTTGCTTCAGTCCTGCGCCCTCCAACGACCGTCGATCACCCATCGCCTGCACCCCGCTCTGGCTGGCGAGCGTGTCGGGCTCCGGCGCGGAGTCGCCGAGCTGCTGCATCACGTCGGGGGACGAGAGCCGGGGCCAGGAGGGACAGCGCTGCCTGCTGACCCTCACGATCCTGGGGGACAGGGGCGGGGTCCCGCGGGCCGGGGACATGCTGCCCTGGGTAGGGGGAGGGCTCCAGGTGGGCCGTCTCGCGTGCAGGGTGACGTCATGTGAACGGGGGGAGTCGTGGCGGGGGGACGCAGGGGGCGACAGGTTGGGGTTGGTAGACAGGTTGCGCGCCAAGGGGCCCTGGGACATGAAGGGCTTCTGACTGGCAGGGTCCAAGTTGAATACTGCCGCCGCGAGGGGGGAGTCTCGGATGTAGATGCCGACTTCGGAGGACGTTGTGGGGTCTGCTGGGCCGGTGCTTGGGGAGGGGATGAGGAGTCGTAGGGCCAACATCCTACCAGGCTATCACACAGGCGATTCACCTAAATTCTAGCGCTTCATCGTACCTGATTGGAATTCCGGCACCCAGACGGAGAAGGATTGGTCAGAGGACCGGGCAGGCATGGCGAACCCTGCTCACAGCAGAAAATGCGGATGCAGGCAGCAGAACCCTGACCCCGATATGTTCTCGAGTAATTAATGGTCGAAGGCAAATGCTCAGCGGATGCATCTGATGGCGACCTTATCATGCACTTTGTGTCGCAAGTGTCAGGGGGCTGTGCCGACAGCGCGCGTGCCGGGGGATGCCGCCCGCAGAAGTAGGTCTAGCACTTAAGAAGTGGTGCTCCACCGTACTTTGGGGAATTTCTGGAGCTAATTGAAACCTTCTTACAAAAGCATACTACTCACTCATACCATCCACTTAAAGATGGAGTCTCCCTCCGGACTGGGCGTAAACTCCTTCGAGGTGGACACCGACCGTGAGTCGCAGCGGAGGATGGGTGGGGCCAGAGGAGCGCTAGGCCATCGTTACACACATTCAACCACCTGTACTCTCACGGTGTGCGCAGTGCGGAGATGCATGGACGCCACCCCTAGGAGCTCGGTCGTGAAGGAGGGCAAGGTGGTCGTCCTCGCCCTCTGCCCCCGGGTGTACTGGGAGAAGCAGCTCAATTATGCCATCAAGTTTCTCATACGGTCATCCAGGGACAAAGTCATCATGTTGCACTTCACTGGCCCGAAGGATGTCGCGGACGCGATGTCGGAGGTCATGGACAAGGCTCGGGCCATTCTGCTCAAGCGCACGCGCCTCTCCGACGCCATGATCGAGACCGTGGTCCGACCTCTGGGCAAGCACTCCGTGCACAGCTGCATCGCTACCTTCTGCAAGGAGGTCAACGCCAGTATTCTGGTGCTGGGGTCCCGGAAACGAGATCCACATCATGGGTGAGCTGATGTTCCACTGGTGCTGTTGTGGTGGGCTGAGACGTGAGTTTGGGTGGGGACTCGGGGGCATTCTTGCCTTTGCACTTCTTCCGGATTGCCTGGGTAACATCCAGGGCTTTGACCACCTCTGACTTGCCCTGGAACCAGCAATCCCCCCCCCCCCTCGCCCTTCCCGCTGTGTAGTTTCTTCAGCTTCCACAAGCATGAAAAGGTCGAGTCGCATTGCCGGCAAGCGCTCGTCGCCACGCGCGTTGTGCACGTAGCCCCTCCTGCCGGTGTGGCGGAGGCGTGAGAGGACGCCCTCTCCATCCCGAGCCAGAGCTTGATCTCACTGTATCAAGTGTCCTGGGGAAGTGGACCGGCAATGAGTGCCTGCCGGATGGGACGCATGTGGCGGTCCCGCCCTCTCAAGGAGTCAGGGAAGGCCCTTCACCGCTCGTCAAGGAGGCACAGCAAGTACACAACCTCCCCCGCCTCCTGTCGGCCTCAGCTCCTGTCGCCCTCGGCCCGTGGTGCCAGGCCCCCCCAAAGCAAGCCTCGGAACCCCACTGTACATGCTCAATACTGCATCAATTGCTCCCCCCCATGTCTTGTCGCTTGGAAGACAATGAATCCCTTGTACAGGCGTTCGCTCCTCTGGAACGACCATGTCCACCCCTCCCTCTCCCTCAAAACCCTGCTCGTGGTGTGAAGGGCACCAGGGCCTCTCATGCCTGCGGCTTTCCAGGAGGGTTGTTACAAGGCACGCTCAATGCCAGGTCAGCAAACGCTGGGCGCATCAGAACTTGAGGAGGTGGGGGCGATCGCCGCTCTTGAGGGTGAACCGCGCGCCCAGGTAGCTCTTGAGCTCAGCGCTGCGACGTGGGGAAAGAAGAGGGATGGATCAGGAGGAGGGTTGACGACCATGGAGCGGCAATGTTTGGAGCGGAAGTGATGTGCTGCTGTCCACAGGTGCCGGCATCGCACAGGGACGCAGGGAGCCAGGCGCCTGCGCCATCGTCAATTCTGCAACCCCTGGCGAACACCCTCATCAGATCCTCGGCCTTCATCGTAAACTCCGTCTCCTCCATGTCCTTCACTTTCTAACCCCCCCCCCCCCTCCAGCCCCCCCCCAAAACCTTGGCTCCCCACCTGAGTCCAGACAGGATGGAGGCATCCACAGCCTTCTGGTTAGCGATGTACTCTGCCGGCAGCGCCGCCTTCTCCAGCTTGTCCTCGAAGAACTCGGCCTCGCCCTTGGACTTGCGCGTCTTCTTCTCCGTGGACTTGAAGTACGCATCAGTGAAAGCGGCGGTATCCACGCCGGAGACGTCCACCTTGGTGGAGGTGGCAATGACGTAGGCCTGGTTCACACGGCGAGCGGGCACGCCGTTGACGCGGAAAGGGCCGGTGACCAGCAGCAGGCCGGAGGGCAGCTGCTTGAGGAACACCACGCGCTTCCCCTTGAAGCGGCCGGCCAGCAGGATGAGAACGGTGCCGGGGGTGATGGAGGCGCGCAGCTTGGTGGGGTTGCGCACGAAGCTGCGGTTCAACGGCTTCTTGGCGTCCTCCGCGGGGTAGAAGCGGGGGGCCTTGGTCACCGCCACCTCGGCCTTCTCGGCCTTGGCGTGCACGGGGAAAGTGCCGCCATTTTTCTTCTTGATGGCCCACAGACCACTGCGTGCGGGTTGGGGAGGGAGGAGGGGTTTGAAAGGACCGGGGCTTGGGTGAGGGCTCTGGGTCCAGGGGTTGGCCCCAGCACGGAGCCCTCCTAAAGAGGGCGTGCGCGGCTGAACACGGGTCCACCATGCAAGCTGCTATCGCTATTTCAGTGAAGAACCGCGGCGCACGGGACGCCCACACAGACAGGACTCTGGCCACCCCGGAATCCAGCGCCGGGTGCGGAACTGCCCACCCTCCCGGGCATCCGGGCAGCGCTCGACCACTCGCGAGCGGTCGCTCGAACAAGACCATATCGGGACATGTAAGCTCCCCATCCCCCATCGCAGCGACCCCTCAAGGCCCTCTCGACCCTCCCCTCCAGCCTCACCGCTTCTTGTAGCTCAGAGAGCGGCCGCGGCCACCGGCGGGCTTCACTGCCTCCTTGGCCATTGCGCTACTTTATACACCTCCGAGACTGGGCGGTGAAAGAGGGGCCCACTGCCGCAGGCTGGGTCCTTTCCTGGCGGGAGGGGGCAGGGCGGCCGATGTAAAACTCGCTCGTTCCCCGCTTTCTAATGAGAACTCGAGCGCGCCTGGCGTTCGAGCTGTTCGTCTGGCGAATCAACGCCAATCGCGTCGAGCCAATCGTAGGTCCATGACAGCGGACACATACTGGCCAATACGGTTGATCGCTGGATACACCCAGCGTGTTCGAACGGCTTGGGGTAGGAAGTGCAGGTTTCGGCCCTTGCCACTCCAACCAGTGGACCCCAGGTGGGAACGACCCACCACGCCGTGACCACATCCCACCCCTGCCAACAATCCCATTCGGTCGAGCTCATCATTACCAATTGTAAACCACGCCAGTAGGAAATCGAGTCCATTGAGTGACTGGCGCTTCCCTTCCGCCAAGGCCCCGCTTCCAATGCGGGCCATGCCAACGACCATCGCCAGCACCCCAGCGCCATTCCTGCGGATATGGTCCCCTAGATCCAGGCCTTCCCTTGCATTCGTCTCCCATCGCCGAATCAGCACTCGCGTTGCCAGCCCTATAGGCCCTGATCTGTCCCCAGAGGCTGTCACCCCAGCCTCCCACCCCGACCCCTTCCCCACCCTGGCCAAGGGCGCCCCCCTGCCCGAGGGGTATGGCGAGCCCCCCTCTGCTCCCCCAAAGCATCGACGCTCAGGCATCATCCTGCACCCCACCTCCCTCCCCGGTCCCTACGGCATCGGGGAGATCGGGGAGGAGGCCTTCCGTTTTGTGGACTGGCTGGTGGCGTCCGGGCAGCAGATCTGGCAGGTGGGCCCGGGCTCTGCGAGCGCTGTGACGCCATGCCTGGATGGATTTCGCTTGCATGTCAGTGACAGACCCTGCGTGCTGAGCCATGCTCCCTGCATGGATGGTGTGTTGTTGCCTGGGAGCCCAGACCCTGCTGGTCATCAGCTGGGTTCCCGTCGACCTTCCCATGAAGTCTCTTCCAGAATACTGCCCTTTCAACCCCTCCACCCGGCCTTTCATCCCCCCTTTTCGCGACCCCCGCAGCTCCTGCCCCTGTGCCCGCCGGAGACCGAGTATTGGTCGCCCTACTCCGGCCTGGATGCGCTCTGCGGCAACCCGCTCCTCATCCCCTTGAACGGCCTCAAAGACCTGGGGCTGCTGAAGGAGACGGACCTCCCGGTCCCTTCCCCGCCAGGCGACGCAGGTCTGCACGCCCCGCTGCCGTCTGTGACAATGCCTGGAGACTACTTCATGGGGGTGGCAATCGAGCCTCTCACACAGCCATGACCTGGCCCGAGCTCTGGTTCGCCAAGTCCTTACAATCACTGGTTCCAACCCCCCCCGTTCCATCCCAGACTTCCCTGCCGTCTACGCTGCCAAGATGCCGCTGCTGGAGAAGGCCGCCGCGGTGCTGCTGGCCGACCCGGCGAGGTTTGCCGACCTGCACACGTGAGGTGGCATTGGGGAAAGCGTGGCGGATGGGGTCATGCCCGCTGGGTCAGGCAGCGCATGGGTTCAGTGTTTACCTTGGAGCGCACGTTCACGCACAGGAGCCTAGTCCCGCCTCCCGCTCCCCCGCCTCAGCCCCTGCGCCATCCTCCTCCTCACCCACGCAGGGAGATGGCCGCGTTCCGCCAGGAAAATGCGTGGGTGGAGCAGTCGGCGCTATTCAGCGCGCTCACCGAGGTGCCGGGCCTGGCGGGACTGGCCTGGTGGGACTGGCCTGAGGGCGTGCGCGACAGGCACCCGGCCGCGCTGGAGGCCGCGCGGCGCGAGCATGCCGGGCGCATCGACGCCTTCATCGCCCTGCAGTACCTCTTTGACCGCTTCTGGAAGGCGGTCAAGGTGCTTGCGCAAGGGAGGGGGATGGCTGGGGGGAGGGATGGGTGTTGGGGCAGGGGGGAGAAGCAAAAGGGGGGGGTGGGGGTGCACAGTAGGGGAATCTTCGGTGATGCGGGCATTGACAGCCTTACCAGACTGCCTCCCCCTCCCACTCTTGTACCTGCTACCGTGCTGGAAGCCCAGTATGCAGTCGCCGTATCTCTAAACCCCAACCCACCCCCCGCACCCCTTATCCAGGCCTACGCCAACGATCGGGGCGTGCTGCTGATCGGGGACATGCCCATATACGTGGGCGGCCAGTCCGCGGATGTCTGGGCCAACCGCACACTGTTCGCGCTGGGGCCAGACGGCGCGCCCGTGGAAGTCTCTGGCGTGCCCCCCGACGCCTTCTCCGACTCGGGCCAGCTGTGGGGCAGCCCCCTCTACGACTGGCAGGTGGGTCTGTGCAGGGGGTTGAGATCGCATGCCGCACCTGCCTCTCTGCCCTGGTCCCGAAGAAGGCGTGATGCTGGAGCAGGAGGAGCATCACCTGGTTGGGCGTCCAGCGCAGGACACCTGTCCCGCCCAGGCGCACTGCTGCCAGGCACCATTGTCACCCCTCACCCCCTCCACCTTCGCCCTCCCTCCACCCATGCGCCAGGCGCACAGCGAGGACCGGTACCGGTGGTGGGTGCAGCGCTTCCAGCGCAGCCTCCAGCTATACGACGAGACGCGGGTGGATCACTTCCGGGCCTTTGCCGGGTACTGGGCCGTAGGCGCCCAGGAGGAGACGGGTGTGCAAAGGCGGGGCGGGGGGACAGGGGGGCTAGCTTTGGGCGTGCCGGCGGCTGCTTGCTGAGGAGTAGCAGTGGCACCTAATTCTGCCTCTCACCCCTCGTGCTTGCCCACCCAATTGCCCTTCCAAACCACTCGCAAACCTAGCCATGAACGGCGTGTGGAAGAAGGGCCCGGGCATCGAGCTGTTTGAGGCGCTGGAAGCGGCGCTGGGGCACGTCCCCATCTTGGCAGAGGACCTGGGTGTGATCACGCCCGACGTGACGGCGCTGAGGTGAGTTTGATTGTGAGGGGCCCTGCACAGTGTGAGGCCGGAGAGGGGATGCAGCAGCAGGTTCATGCCATTTGTCCAGCATGGGGGTACTTCGGTTGTGCATGGCAACGAGAGATGTCTGGCGTTAAAAGGACAAAAATGTGGCTTCAGGTTGGAATGTGGCTTGGGAAAGGGAGCCGATAAGAATGCAAAGCGGGTGCTTCTCAGGCGCTCGACTGTCAGCTGGATCTCCACAAGCCCTGTCCCCCTCCACTTGTCCTGCAGGGAGGCCATCGGAGCGCCGGGCATGGTCGTGCTGCAGTTTGCTTGGGGCGGCGGCGCGACCAACACCCACCTGCCACACAACATCTACCAGAACAGCTTCGTATACCCCGGTGTGCGGCAAGCTTGAGCGGAGACGCGGTGGCTAGGTGCACGCATGCCCTCCGCGCGCCTGCCGAGGGCACGCCCGCCAAAGCGCTCACCTCTTCCCAACCCCATGCCACCACAGGCACGCACGACAATCAGACGGTGCTGGGCTGGTACAAGGCCGGGTGCCGGCCAGAGGAGGCGCGCCTCATTGCGCGATACATCGGCGCTGAGGCGGGACAGGACATCTCCTGGGCGTTCATCCGGGAGGCCTTCAAGTCTGTCGCTAGGACCGTGGTGGTGGCCATGCAGGTGCATGGCGGCGCGGCTGTCAGGCGCAAGGGGGGTTTTTGAAGCCGTGGCCGCGACTCTCGACCATGCACACTACTTCCAACCCCTCACACATCCCTACCTTCCTGCCAGGATGTGATGCGCCTGGACGACTCCGCAAGGATGAACACTCCGGGCAAGGCGGCGGGGAACTGGGCGTGGCGGGTGGGCGGCAGTAGCATCTGGGATGAGCTGCGTGCTGAGTCAGCAGACCTCCTGGCCATCACCCAGATGTGTGTGGGTTGAGAGGGCAAAGACGGAAGCCCAGGGCAGTTGGAGTCGGGCTGGGGAGGGTGAGCCATGCAGGTGTTGATGTGGACCGGTGTACTTGCCCGTTCGCCGCTGAATCGCCGCCTGCATCCGATCCCGTCCTTTGGTCCTCGCCTCAGGTATGATCGCCTGCTTCTGGACTGGAAGGCGCCTGGGACCAAGGACGCCGGGACCCCGGAGGCGGAGTCAGTGAGCGAGGTGGAGACTGTCGCGGAGGCGGCCGCGGCGTAGAATTACATTTCCGCGTCACAGAGTACCACAACCTCGCCCAATCACGGGAGGTGTGCCTTGCTGTGCAAGGGTTCGGGCCCTGCTACAGCCCAAGTCTGGACCTCGCCTGCTGCCACGCACATGCCGCCGCTCTGCCTCTGTACTGGGATGGCTGTGAATTTCCCAACTGCATGGCTGAGCCGTCTCGACTGTGTAAGGCCAACCCCTGTCTGGCAATAGTTGCAAGAGAAATGGACCAGGCCACGGACGTACCGGAATCTTGGAGGCATCCTGAACTCTGTATCCGTTCAAACTCTCAATCCCAGCGTCATCATGACAGCCCCATCCAACCTCTTTGCTGCCCGATGCAGAGCTTCAACAGCTCACGCATGGGTAGGGGTGACATTACAGAAGTGTGTAGCCCTCGGCCACCCCCCAGAGCAAGCTGCAGTGCTACATGATCTGACCAGGAACCGGGTTCCAGCCCCTGCAATCACCACTCGACGCCGGCGGCCTCGGCGTAGTTGACCTCATCGTCGGAGGAGTCGGCGATGGGGATCAGGCCCTTCTCCTTGAGGAAGGCGAAGCCAGCGGAGATGGCCTCGTCACGCATCTTCAGGGGGAACAGGCCCTTCTCGGCGTTGCCGGCGACGGTGATCTTGATCAGCTCATCGGTCTTGCTCACCACCTGTCAATGAGGGGTTGAGAGGAACAAGAGCTTTCGCATTGGGCTGGTGGAGGAGCAAGGAACTCCGCATGCATGCAGGGAGGCACGCTGCGTTGATCCTGACGGACTCCAGCCGTCCTCTCGACCCTGCAGCCTCTCGGCCTCGGTGGTTCCTCCAGGACCCACCTGTCCCCCCTCCCATCCCCTGCCAGCGAGACTCAAAAAGCGATCCCCCGGCACCACAGCCACGTGCACCACTCACGGTGACATCGCCCAGGGGCTTGGTCACAGCCGCCACCCACTCGTCGATGGTGATGTTCTTGGTGGTCTGCAGCTCCTTGGGCACATGGGCGATGATGGCCAGCTGCTTGTCGCCAGCAGAGAGAAAGATCTTGCCTGCGGGGAGGGGGCCAGTGCCGGGCGTGAGGACGGAGGTGCGCCAGGGGCGGGGGCTTTCTGCATGCCCTGGGCCCAACCAGCTGAGCCCGCTCACCGATGTCCCCGGCTCCTCCCTTGCGCTCCTCAGCGCTCTCATCCACCTCGGTGTTGGATCCGTCGATCACAGCCTGGAGGAGGTCCAGGTCGCCCTCAGGGGTCTCCACGGCCAGGTTGAAAAAGCAGACACCGCCCATCGCGGACACGCCCGCGAGGTCCACGCCCTTCTTGCCTCCCTCCTTGATGGCAGCCTGCATCGGGGAGACCATCGGTTTCATGTGCCCACAGCATGCGCATTGCCTGGTTCAGCTGTCCACGCGCCATGGCATCTTCCAGGGGGTTCCCTGCCCAAGTGTGCGGCTGCCCAGGCCCACCTTGATTGCCTTGTCGTTCGCCATTGCTGCTGCTGCCCTGAATCCAAAAACAACTTTGAAGGGTCGACGACACTCGTGGAAAGAGGGCCAGGGATGCACAACGGCCCGGCTTTGTTCATGGTACTTTGCGCGCCGGGCGCCCCAGGGTCCACGCGGGCCCGGCCCTCGTGGCAACTCCAAGAGCTGGCCTGGCCGACCCTGATGCATACACCCTTGTTCTCTCATATGCACCCAGCCTCGCGGGGCACCCAGTTACAACTGTAAGGTTCGAAAACTGCACTGTTTGACCACCCGCAGCGTTCCCTGCACCGAGTGTCACCCCTCAAGCTCCGCAAACAGGTCCTCCAGCTCGTCCCTGGATGGAGGAGGTGCGACCACAGGCGGTGCCTCTGCCTTTGGAGAGGCCTTCCTCTCCTCCCTGGCCCTGCGCTCCCGGGACGAACGGCGGTGCTTGGAGGACTTGTGCCTCTCCTTGCCCTTGTCGCGGCTCCTGCGCGGTCGGTTGGTGGGAGGCAAGCCAGGGCGTTCAAGGGTGCAGGCGGGGGAGACAGAGACTGCAATGGCAACGCCGGGCATGGGCGCGGTGACAGCCCATGGTCACCCCCCTGTCCAGATCAGCCTGGATGGGCCAGTATCGACTCGGCCACAGTGGCCCTTTCCTCCCTCATTGTCACCCACCTGTCGCGCCGCTTCCGGTCCCAGCTCCCGCTGCGCCGGTGCGGCGAACGGGATCTCCGCCGCTCTCGCCCCTCGGCGCGCCGCCGCTCCCCGCTCCCGCTCCGCTTGCGGTCCCGGCTGCCGCTTCGCCGCCGCTCTCGACCCTCTTCGCGCCGTCGCTCTCGGCTGCCGTCGTCTCGTCGGCCCCCATCGCCGGCCACGGTCCCCGCCGCGCCGTTGCCGGCGGGCACCGTGGCGCCGCCCGCCAGCCGCCGCGCCAGGGCGGCGGCCGCCGCCACGGCCGCGTGGCGCTGTGCCTCGGGCCCCGCGACGGCCCCCGCGCGCATGGCGCGTGCGGCCAGCACGCTCTCGGCTAGCGCGGCCTGCTGCGCGCTGAGCGCGGCAAAGCGCTGCGCCTGCTGCAGCGCCGCGGCCTTGGCCGGGTCCAGTGCCGCCTGGCCCGACACCAGGGCCTCGGCCGCGGCGCGGGCCGCGGCGCCGGCCTCCACGCGCAGCGTGACGGGCTCCCCGCCGGGAACGAGTGGGGGCACTGCGGCGCCGTCCATGGCCAACGCCGCCGGCACCGAGGCCGCGGCGGCAAACTCGACCCAGGCGAAGGCGGCGCCGGGGCCCGCCAGCTGGACGCTGGCCACGGCGCCGGCGCGAAGGAAGGCCGCCGCCAGGGCCTCGCCGGAGGGCAGGGAACAAGGAGCGCCCACCAGCACGGTTCGGCTGAGGCGCTCGAGATCTGTGGCGGGGAAGGGCACACCTGACAGCGCGGCCTGCGCCCCCTGCGGTCGGAGAAGAGACGGGGGTTGGTGCAGGGTTGAGTTCAAGGAGGGCAGGAGTTGGCAGGGGTGGGAGGTGCGCATGGTCGTACCTGCATACCTGCAACCCCCACTTGATAGGGAAGCATCATTCAGAAGCCCACGACACACGGCAAGCCCGACAGGGCCATGCAGGGTCTGCGCCGTCTCACAACCATTCTTCAAGCCGCCTTACGTTCCCAGTGCAAAGAACAACCTGACCACGCACCAGGGTAGGGGGAGCTGCTCCAGGGATGGGCTGGGCGACGCCAAACCCGACTGCGCCGGCGCTCAGCTGGGCGGCGGAGACGGGGCCGGGAGCGGTGGGGACGGGGCCGTTCACCGCTGCTGCGCCGCTGCCGGCCGCCGCGGCTGCGGCAGACGCGGCCTCCAGGGCCTTGGCAGCGGCCTGGAGATCCGGGGCGGAGAAGTAGATGGGGAAGGGGAACTGGCCCAGGGGCTGGCCATTAAGCTCCACCGTCAGCTGCGGTGGGGCAGTAGGGAAAGGGGGAAAGGGAGGTGTGGGGTTAACAATGCCAAGGATCATGTGTGATTCGGTATCAGAGCCCTGGGTGCCAGAGCTGGGCGACAGTCGCCATGTCCTACCATCCTCCCACTGGTCCCCCCTCCCAGACATGCGCACCCACAGCAAAGGCAGCCGCTCCCATGACGCGCCAACCTGCCCGAGGCCCGAGCCCATCCTGGGAGACTCACCTGGTAGCTACCCTTACTAGGACATGTGTACAGGGCGGTGTAGGTACCATCCCCGTGATCGGTGACCTCTGCTCTGGCCACAACAACTGACCCTGTGGGTGCGGGTTTGTCGAGTGTCACCAGGACGTAGGCACCCCCATCCCGGATGCGACGGCCAGCAGAGTCTTTTGCTGTTATTACCATTTTCACGGGCATGCCGGAGGAGCCTCCGGAGAAGCCTGGGCCCGTCGCCGAGCAGCGGGAGGGGTCGATCGGCCCGGGCGGGAGCTGGGACTCGTCCGGCTCCTCATCCGATGAGGTGCTGTAGTCGTCGGAGTCAGAGTCTGAGGATGCGCCGGTGCCGTGCAGGATGAGGGCCTGGCCCGGTCCATCTCCAGCAGGCAGTGGAGGCACGAAGTCGGGGCCACCAGGACCCGCCTCCTCCGTGGACTCCCGCTCAGGCGGCTGAGCTGGGCTTCCCACCGCATCGTCTGATCCTACAGGCAGGGGAGGTGAGCTTGTGCGGCTTCCATCCTCTTCCTGCGAGTCACCAGGTATCCCAGCAGGGGTGGACGCCTCCTCGGGCTCCGAGGCCATACCTTGCTGCCAGGGGCGCAGCAACGGTCCAGACTCGCTTCAATGTTTGGTGAAGTCGACCACACCCGTTCCTAGAAACAATGCGGGTTAGTCCATCCGCCTATTACGGATATTGGGGGTCAGACTTTCCCCCCCTTGTCGCGCCCTTCCTCGACAAAGGGAACTGTCGAAAGCATGACAAAGAGGGGGGCGCCACCCAACCCCCAGTCATCGTTCCCAAGGGTAATGGTCACCTACAGGTCAGCCCATTCAGAGTCTTAGATCGTAGTGCTGCCCCTGATTTGAGGTCTCGTCAATGCTTGAGCGGTCCTCCTGCACATCAGTGGCCATTCAACAATATACAGCAGTGCGGTGTAAACCAGCAAGATACCATCCTGCTCCTTGAGAGTATGCGGCCCGAAGGGTTCCATCAACATTGGTATCTTGTGATTTCTGCTTTCATCACAAGCTCCAACTGAGAACATCCAACAGTGCAGCTGTGCTCAATGTGGGTGACCTGGTGCTGGTAGGCCAACATGCACTACCAAGACGGCTCGGTTCTAATGTGAGGCTGAGCGTTCCACCACCTTCTCATCTCAACAAGGGAGGTACTCGGAGCGACATGTCCGCCATTCTGTGGCATTGAGGAGCGTTGAGCCATGCCCAGGTGTTGGACAGTCCAGTTCCCGAATATGAGGTGCACATAATCCACTCTCTTCAACGGCTCAGCAGATTCGGACCAGACCCGGGTTCGATTCCCGGATTGCGCAGTCAATCCCATGACTACCCCCCAACTAGCGCAGTTGGTTTAGTGGTAGAATAGGTCCCTGCCACCGCTCTCTTTTACTCTTTTGGATTTGCACACCGACAGCCCTGCCTGACCACAGCCTGGTGGCGAGCATGTGTGCGTTAGCGGTTGGGCGCATAAAACATGCTTTACCGCATGCAGCAGCATGCTACTGGCTGGCAAGTCGAGATGAGCGTGATGTTCTCCCAGCGCCTTCAATTCTGTCTTGAAATGCAAAACAAACTCGGCTACTTCTTAGTACTGAAGCTCGCTGCTCATGCTGCCACCCGGTAGACTCTTCCACGTATGTGCTGCACCGGTTGTGCCAACCACCCTCCTCGAGGCCATCTGGCGATCGACTGACAGCGAGATTGCCCCATCTCTCCCCCGTCCCTGCGCCACCCCTGCTGTGACATTGCTGCATCCCTGATCTGCACACGGCATGCTATGCCAGTCTTACAGCCGAGGGAAGAACCGACAAGACCACGCTGGGGGTCGGTCCGGGAGCAGCCACGAGCATGCTCAGACGCGGCTGGGGTACAGCATCACGCGGATCTTGGCGCCCTGCAAGGATGGAGGTGGTGGAAAGGGGTTTTGATCGTGAACGCTGGTTCCTACCTCCCACTGCGGGTTCCCAGCCGGGGATGTTGACACCACGCCGGCATGCCAACATACGCACGCATGCACACGACAACCCTGCCACGCTGAGACAATCACCCACTCACGATGGCTGCGGGTGGGAGGTTGCTCTTGAACTTGGCACGGACGGTGCCGGTGCTGCCATGTGCACGGGTCACCTGCGCATCGTGTAAGGGGTGAAAGCCTTATGGAAAGGGGTTTAGCCCATGGAAAGAGGTTCCCCATCAACACTGAAGGCCTGGCGACCGCGCATTTAGTCGCTGGGCGCACGGGCACGTCCCTCCCCTCCATCATCCCCCAGGCTTCACCTTGCCCCAGATGACGCGGAACTTGCTGCCCTTCTTCTCGGTCTTGGCCTTGTACACGTAAGCCAGACGCTTGCCCAGGTAGAACTCGGTCTCGGTCTTGGAGTTGACACCGTCGATCTTCACCAAGCTGGTGTGGGTGTACTGGTTGGACTTGCTCCTGCAGGGTGGCATGGCCAGAGGGCGAGATGGTGAGGACGACATACCCCCGCCAGCGCTTCCTAACATCGACACGGATGGCATGCGCGGCTGCACTCGGTGAGCTGAGTGTGCGAGCGAGGCCTGCGCGACTGCCGGGGAATGCCCCCGCCCAAGCTCGCAAGCCTCCACCCCAACCACGGCCAGCGGGCCCGACGCACCTCCGGAATCCGAGGAACTGTCCAGTCACGTACAACCTGTGCAGTGGTGGGAGAGAAGAGGTTGAAGTAGTGCTGGCGAGCCTCCCGGCACCCCGTCCAGCCCGGCAAGCACCGCCCTGAAGAGCCCCTCACCTCACACGTTCGCCGCCCATCGCTGCGTACTCCCTGTGCTGAGCTCCAAAAGGTGGCAGGGAAGAGGGTGCGACCCGAGACCCTCGCGTGTCATGAGCCAGTAAGTGCGAGAAAGCGCGAAGCGAGGCCGCCAAGGCCAGCCTGGCTCTGGGCTCCCGGAAATTGTCCCGGGCGGGCGTGGCCCCTGGTCTGTCGATCTCGGCAGTGTGCACAGATGTATCCCTTTGAACCAACCCCTTCAACGCTGTACTATCCGAGTCAGTTCCGAATGGTTCATTCATGCACACACAACGCTGGCCCTCAGTTGCTGCAGGCCCTCTGTTGCAGTACCTCTTTGAAGAAGTGGACCATGAGCTCTTCGTACCCGGCCAGCTTCTCATACCCTGGGAAATAGTTGATGTCAATGAGGTGGAGCAGGGTGGATGTACTCCCCGGCTCATTTCCCTGCTCCCTGGGAAGTATGACGTCGAAATTGAAGAGGTGTAGGCCGAGCCGCTCCCGCAGCCTCTGCGCCAGCGCGTCCCAAACCCAGGGTGGGGGGATGCGAACGCCGTGATCCTGTTCGAGAGGGCAATGAGCAGTCGATAGAGTGTGTTGCTTGTCACCAGGCGTACTTCGAATAGAAAGTGTGCAAGCCGCGGCTGCAGTGTTGCTCAGGGCAAGCGCCCATCCAATGGGCAACCCGTCCCCCAGCGGGCGTCCAAAAAGATTACTCCCCGACTCACCGCCGGTGCGAGGTCCTCCTGACCCCAACACTCGGACGATGGGTATGCGCTCACGCGGCTCATCAGCTGCAAGCCTGGACAGGGCCTGGCGGTCCCACAGTCCCCAGCCTGGCCCGGCTGCTCCGCCCCATCGTCCGCAGATCGATGGTGCCCCGGGCCGGCATCGCTCGCCACGCCGTCCTGATCCAGCGACAGACTGGCGCGGGTCACCATGCGGCACTGGCCGCCCAGCACGTAGACCTGGGAGGACATGGGAGGGGCGGCGCGGTGGCATTTGCTGCGAGGGCACACAGGTGGGTGCCCACCCGCACCCAACCAGTGCCTCCATGGTGCTCCCCATGCCGACCTTGAACAGGCAGCCCCCATGCTCGATGTAGGGCTGCGCCAGGGCCGGCAGAGCCAACCCCAGCTGGGCCCCTCGCTCGATGATGCCCTGCAAGCCGGCAGAGGAGGTGACCAGGGCAAGTGCATGGGCTCCCTCCCTGCCATCTGCCCAGCAGGGCTTCAGCACCAAGGGGTAGCGCAGCGACGCCGCAGCCAGGGCATCCTCGGCCCCGGCCAGTGAGCACCCTGGAGCCAGGAGCTGGTGCGCGGGCGTGGTGCATGTGAAGCCTGCGCCGCCCTTTCCTGGACTGGCCTGGGCAGGGGCCTGCGGTGGGGTCGACAGAGCGGTGTGGAGGGCTGTGAGGCTGTGTACAAGTTGTACATGCTGCAAGCATCATGCAACGTGGCTGTGGCGGCAGATGCCATCATGGCGTCTGCGCTCGCTGATTTGAACACCCTGTGCCTGGAAAGGAGGCTCGCCTCGATCGCAGGCGGGCATGGCAACCGACCCCAGCGCAGAGCCTGGCTTCAGCACCATCCACCCACCTTCAAAACCCAGGTGTCATCATCCAACAGCTTCAGCATGGTAGCCCGGTTGCCCAGGGCTTGTACAGCTTTTGGGTGGTCTATGATGGTGACCTCCGGGTGGGAGTCCAGGTATGCACATACCTCCTCCTCCCACTCTGCACCATGTGACCGTGGGATGCTGGCATGGAGGAACATTGACAGAGCGGAAACATTTGCAGATCCTGACCCGGACCATGACTCTCCAGCCATGCACCCCACCTGTCTCACCTGGGGACCTGATCTTGTGGAGCAGGACGTCAAAATGACCCTGAGCTGCCAGAGGAACCCCTTCCTCCAGAACTCGCAGTGTCACCCCTTCGTCAGCGGCGCGATGGAGCAATGCAGGAGTCAAGTGCTTGCATGCTTTCTTCTGTGGTAAGAGAATGCCGAGCACAGGAGTGCGTGGCTTGCACCCGGCATTGCCCTCAGCATCTGCCATGCGAGGTGCTTTCGTTGGAGGTGGGAAGCCTGTGAGGTGACAGTACACACGGCACAGCCCTTAGGGCTTCAGGCACGTAATTTATAACGATATTGACGGAAGATGGTGATCGTGCGATGGACCATGGCGGCCTGCGCCCACACAGATCGTGCCTGGTCACATTGACCCGACACTCATTCAAAGCACAGCTCAGCGCGCGTTGAGGGCAGGTCACTCCATTGCCCGCCAACTACTCCTGCGTTCGCACGGTATATACCGGTCCATCTGTTATACTAAGCACTTTTGGATCGTTCCCATTACTGTGCATGTCGGCGGGAAGCACTGGGGAAGACTTGGCCTGGGTCGCGCACGTCCTCACTGGAGGCGCCCAGGGCGAGCGTCGGGCCCCTGTGCGACAGTTCCGGGTGACGCCCAGGCCAGGCACCCCAACCAGACCACGAGGCGGAACCTCTAAATCTGCTGGTAGGGGGCCTTTGTCCCGTGTGGTGGCGACCAGCTCCACAGCAGTCCCGCAGCGCCCACGGCCAGAGGATGCCGAGCATGGCGAGAAGTGAGTGCTTGAGACTGGGCGTGAGTGGGAGTCTGGGGCACTGCTGGGCATTATGGCTGCTTTATCTCGCTATCCAGGGGGATACTTCCAGGTACCGTTCCTCGTTGCTTCATCTCCCATGTCAACCCCCACCTGACCCCTGACCTCAGGGGTCTGCGGTGCCGACTCTGCGATGCCTGGGTGCCCAGTGCCGGGGACAACTGGGCGGTGCACGTGGGGGGCATCCGGCACCGCCGGGCCGTGGCCAGCGTGAGGCTGACCGGGGCGCCCGGCTCCCACGTCACCTCCATCTTCGAGCGCCCGGAGGCCGTGGCCGGGCCTGCTGGGAGAACCGACCCCGCGCAACCTCCCGGCCATGCACAAGCCGCCGGCGCCCGGCGCACCCCCCTCCTGGACACCGGGACGCTCCTCCTGGACACCCAGGCCGCCGTGGCTCTGGGTTACGACGGCGTGCTGATCGAGCGGGCGCAGCGGGAGGCGGCGCGATCCGCCGGGGTGGACCCTGCGCAGGCGCGGGACCTCCAGAGGGAGCTGCTGGCGGCGCTGGCGGACGTGGCTTCCCTCGGCGACAGACGTGCGGATCGGATTGGGCTCGAGGGTTGGTGTCTGGCTCTGCATGAGATACATGATGGGGCTGGTGGCCGCTGCGGCGGCTCATTGCCTTGGACTCGTGGGCGCCCGATGGGCGGCCATGCATCCTTCTAGTCTGGGTCGCAGCAAGCATGGCTTGTCTGGCGACACACTTCCTTTGCTACCCCCTTTCCTGGTGGCATTTGGAAGGTGTCCTCTTCAGCTGCCTACCAACATGAATCGCCCACTCCCAACTTCCACCTCCACCCCCGCAGTCTACCATCTGGCCGCGTCCCCGCTGACGGAGCTGGCCCTGGGCGCAGCGCTGGCCGCCATGAAACGCACGCTGTGCAGCCAGGCCCACTGCCGCAGCCTGAGCCTGTCGCACCCGCTGCACCTCGCCGCGGCGGCCTCGCTGGCCCGCTCGCACGGCCTGCTGACGGCCTCCAGCCTGGTGCTGTCGGCCCCGCCCCTGGGTCACGGGCCGGGGCACCCCCTGCTCTGGCTGGCGGCCGCGCGGGTGGCGCTGCGCGCCCTGCGCTGCGCGCCCAGCGTCGGGACGCTGGTCCTGCGCCTCGGCGGCTGCGTCGCGGCGGGGCCCACCTCCGAGACGGCCTGCGGGCCGCTGCTGGGCGCGCTGCGCCGTGGGCTGGAGGAGCGCTGCATGCTGCGCACGCTGCGCCTGGATGCGGGGTGTGAGCTGCAGTACCTCTTCCTGCGGTCGGAGGTGCGCGCCTGGCCGGCCGCCGCCGCGGCGGGGGCGCGGCGCGTGCGGCTGGCGGTCCTCATGGGCTCGCACGCGAGGCTGGGCAGGCGGTCGCCCCTGCGCCTGCTGCCGCCGGCCCTGCTGCAGGCCGTGCTGTGCGCGCTGGGGCCGCCCGGCAGCTGCTTGGTGGAGGTCCGGCGCTGCCTGCTGGAGCCCGAGGTTGGCGCGCCATGAGGACGCCAGGCTGGGAACCCAATCACTAGACACCCTGTACTGGCTCTAGGTGCTTGAGCATGGGCATGCTCATACGATCTACGAATTGTTCAGCAAGTCATGTAAAACTCTGTACACTCAGCACTCAGCAGTACTGGATGATTGCTCCGCCGGAGGATTCAGGGGTGGAAGAAGGGCCCCCGCGCTGCGGCGCAAGTCCATAAGGAGCCTTGGGTAATGGTAGTCGATGCAGCAAGAGCACCAGCCATCGAGACCGCCGCTGCTCCTCTTCCACCACCGCCGCTGTATGCGGCCACGCGCTTGATACAGGAGCCCGCGCGTATGCAGTCACGAGCGAGCCTGTAGCGCCCTAGCTGCAGCCGGCGGCGGGGTCCCTGTGGCGGTATTCTCCCGCTCCTTCACCCGCACGGCCTCACCCCTCCCCGCCCCCCGGCCCCCGCCGCACGAGTCTCTTCCTCTCCCCCTGCCGCGCGAATCCTGCGCCCTCCCCCGCCCCCGACCACTTGCAGATGGGGCGAGCGAGGGCGCCTCGCGGTTGGCCTGCCGGGGTCCTGAGGCCACGGCGGCTCCAGCCCTGGGTCCGCCTGGAGCACCTCCTCCCCCCCCGCCCTTGGCGGAGGGGCTGGCATGGCTGCCAGCTGCTCGTCCCTGGCTTGCCGGCGAGGGGGCCGCCCTCCGCGCATGGCCGCCGCGCCCGCCGGCAGGCGGCTGGGCGCACGTCTCGGCCTGTCGCTCCCTGCAGCCGTGCCGGAGGCCCCGACCCCTGCACCCGGCCTCGGAGCCCACCTGCCGCACATCTCGGGGCTCTGCTACTGCAGCCGAGGCGGTGTCCCTCGCGGCCTGCCTGGACGCCTCCAGCTCCGCCAGGGTCACGGCCACGCGCGTCCCCACCAGGCCCCCCGCCCGGCGCTGGGCCTCCAGCGTCGCGCGCTGCGTGCGCTGCAGCCGACGCAGGGCCTGCAGTGTCGGACCGTCCAGGAGGGACGCCAGTGCCGCGGGCGGCTCGGCCGCCGCCGCGGCCGGCGCAGGGGCGCCGCGCGCCCGCGCCGCGAAGCCGGGGGGAAGCTGCGCCGGGGCCACCACGGCGCGGCAGCAGGGGCAGGGCATGGCGTAGGCGCCCGTCGCTGCATCCGCAGCGACGCCCTCCTTGGCCAGCTGGGCCGGGGCCGCAGCCTTCCACTGCTCCGCGATTTCCTCGGCGCGCCGGGCGAGCCGGTCCTGCTGCCAGGCCGCGTAGGATAGGAAGCACGTCCTGCACACGAGGGGCGATGCAGTACGGAGGGGTGGGGCTCGGCAGAAGGGGAGCGGCAGGCGTCCGCGGCGACACATGCGGGGGCGGCAGTGCACTTGAACAGCACGCGATTCAAGCTCCCTCTCCCTCCCGGCAATGGCCCCAAAGACAATGCGATTCTCAGACAGACGGACGACAGCGATCCTTTTTTGAACCCACGCCAGCCTGCCGGCCCCGCCTGCATGCCCGCCCATCATCACGGGGCCTTCCCCCCCCCTCCCTCCCACAACACACACACACACCTGTGGAAGCAGTGCAGGCAGGGGAGGAGGCAGGCCTGCGCTGCAGGGACGTCGTCCAGGGCTTCCAGGCAGAGCACGCACGTGCCCGAGGGCCTGTTCCACTCCGTGACCTGGTCCAGGGCAGAGGCCACAAGGGGGAGGAGGCCCGCCTCATCGCCACCGTCCTGAACCAGGCCCCGCAGCGCCTCCACCAGCTGCAGCTCCTGGGAGTCGCTGAAGCCTGCGGGGGGGAAGGAGTCCAAGAGGCAAGGTTGGGGAGCAGAGGTTGGGCGGTGGCGGGAAGCGAAGAGGGTGCCACGGCATCGCCTGGAAGCCCCTCAAGCTCTGCAACCCCAGCAGGCAGACCCAGGACCCTCGCACCTTTCACCCCCTCCAGGAGCACATTGACGCCAGCGGCGGGGTAGTCGGTAAGGTCGAGCACCAGGGTGCATGTCAGGAAGACGTCAGCGTCCGTGTAGGGCAGGATGCTCACGCGCACGCTGCGCTGCTGTGAGTCCCAGACCACGCCCTCGAAAGTGGCCGACAGCGCTTCGAGCTCCGTGGCCAGGCACGCCTCGGCCATGGCACAATGAGTCAACAGTCGGTCATTCTAAATTAGCTGCAGACTGTATGCTGCACTGTCTGCGAATGGGATTGTGGGCCCGATTAGTGGAGGTGCTTCGACTTGGGCCAGCACGAACTTTGAGCGCCCACTTGAGATGCTCAGATCTCACGGATTTCCCATCCCTCATCGACGGTGGCGACGACTGTACCAGGGCCCCACCCCAGCATAAACCTTCATTCTGATTCAGCAAAGGCCCGCAAAGTGCTGTGTCGTCGCGATGACAACTGTCCTGGCTCCGCTCCAGAACGGGGGTCTGGAGCAGCCGGGTCTGGATCCCCGTGTGCTCCAGTGCGGCTTCGCCCGCCTCCTGGGCAAGGACGTGGACTACATTGTGCGGAAGTATGAGATCGTGCTGGGCAGACGCAGCAAGGCCTCCACCCTGGACGTGATCCTGGGTGACTTCATGTCCGTGTCCCGGCAGCACGCCCGCATCCTGTACAGCTTCCCTTCAGGTGTGCCGCACATCGCACAATGGCCTGGCGTGTATGTTCAGCGGGCAGGCGCCTGTCTGACAAAGCAGCGCCTGGAGATGGGGCATGGCTGGTGTTGCACCTTGGTCTGACGCATCCCTGTGCCTCACACGCTGGTTCCCTCCCCTTCATACACTGCCTTGCGTGCCCCCCTCACAGCCCGTTGGGAGCTGCAGGTCCTGGGCAAGAACGGGGTGGCAGTTGACGGCGTCACCTACCTCCCAGGCGGGGACCCGGTGCCCTTGGCCTCCCGGGCGCTGCTCCAGATAGGGCAGGATGTGTCCTTCCACTTCCTGCTCCCCAGCAGCACTCGCCGCAGGCACGTCTCAGTGATCAGGGTGTCCGGTCCTGATCCCATTGAGGTCTGGTGCCCCCTGGCAAGGGGCAGTGTTGAGTCTCATGTGCCCTTGGTGGTCCTGACGCCCGACGGCGGTGGTCATCAGGGGACCCGGCACCGTCTGGATAATCGTGGGATCATGCGATGTCCTGGGTGCCGATTGCTCCGCTTGAAATCACTTAAACCCGCGTGCCCCACGCCTGAACGCAGGTCCCTGACACCCTCCGCCCCGCACGCCACTGCACCCGCTGCCCCGGCTGAGGAGGGACCTGGCAGCGCACCGGCGCCGCCCGCTCCGGCCGCCGCTGCGGCCGCCGCTCAGCCGGCACCCGCCTCCGACCAGTCGTCGACGCAGGCTCACACCCAGGACCTTGGTCCTGCTGGCGCGCCGCCGGCCGTCCCGCCAGCCTCGACTCCCATGGAGGAGGAGCGGCCGCACGTGCCGTCTGCCTCGCCTGCCGCTTGGTTTTCTGGGGAGCAAGGGCCGGCGCAGGGCACCGCCTCGCCCCGTGCGCAGGCCCCCCACCCCCAGCCGTCGCCTGCCGCCCGGGAGGCCGCGGAGTGGGGCCATGCCAGCGTGGCGGCGCAGCAGGCGCAGCAGGCGGCCCCGCAGCAGCCGGGGCCCCAGGCGCTGCTGGCCGCGCTTTCCGGCCACCCGGGCGTCCAGCAGGCCCTCGCCTCCAACCCCGGCATTTTGCAGGCCCTGCTGGGAAACCCGGCGCTCCTGCAAGCCCTGCTGGGCAACCCAGGCATTTTACAAGCTCTTCTCGGTAACCCGGGGCTCCTGCAAGCTCTTCTCGGCAACCCGGGGCTCCTGCAAGCTCTTCTCGGCAACCCGGGGCTCCTGCAAGCTCTTCTCGGCAACCCGGGGCTCCTGCAAGCTCTTCTCGGCAACCCGGGGCTCCTGCAAGCTCTTCTCAGCAACCCAGGACTGCTGCAGCAGGGAGGTGGCGCGACCCCTGGCGTACTGCAGGGCCTGCTGGCAATGGCAGGGCAGCAGGCCCAGCAGCTGAGCGCGCAGCAGGCCCAGCAGCTGAGCGCGCAGCAGGCCCAGCAGCGGGCGATGCAGCAGGCTCAGCAGCGGGCGATGCAGCAGAGGGCCGCCGTGCAGTCCCTCCAGGGGCAGGCGCTGGAGCAGGAACAGGCGGGGCTGACACCGGCGCAGCACCAGCAGCTGCTGCAGGCTTGGCAGGCGCAGCAGTATGGGAACCCGCACCAGTACGGGCGGTGAGATGCAGCTGAGACCCCCCCGCTGCCTTCCTTGCCCTGTCGTCGCTGTACAACACCGGGATCGAGGGGCAGGTTTGGCGAGGTGCCCCAGGCCAGGGTCATGCTGGGTCAAGGGCGAGGGAGTCATGGCGGTGTCTATAGAGGGGGGCGCGATTTGGGATGAACCGGAGTGGGGCGGGATGTGCCTGGGGCGTTGGACGGCACGGCTCCCCTCACTCCATGGGTGCATCCATGTCCATGTCCATGGCCGCCGTGCTTTCCTTGACCGCGTCCCACTCGATGGGAAACTTGGTCACGCGGGGCTTGTCGGCGAGGATGCTTCGCATCAGCCTGGGCAGGGTTTGAGGGGGGCCTGGGGTTTTAAGTATTGCATGGTGTGACTACTAGTGGCGGACAAGTGACGCTGCCGCTCAAGAAGAGAGTCGCAACTTGCATGGCATGCATACAATCCCATCTCCCTGCAGCAACCACCCAGCAGGAACTCAGCAGCAGAAGAGCCTCCCACCTGTCAAGCTGTGGAGTCTCGGGAGGCTCCTCCCGTAGCGTCTCCTCCTCGTACTCTGTGTTCACGTAGTACCCTACCCGAATAAACTCCTGCACATGTGCAGGGTGTGTGGACTGGCTGCGTGTGCATGCCATTCAGAACAACAAACTCAGTGGAGGAGGGCAGCCATTCACGTCCCAAAACCGGCATCTAAAAAAACATGTTGTCTGGCCCCTGTTGCTGCCAGCCCACCTGCGTCTTGTATGAGCAGGTGAGGAGGATGACTGTCACTCCGACAATGTCGCTGGGTGGTATCCTTGAAAAGTCTGGAGGGTCAGCCTGTGGAGATTGGGTGCAGCGAGAGGGCCATCCGTGGCGTCAAAGACCAACAGCGTCAAGCACTGCGTCTGTGGAGCGGCGCGCGCAGCAGCAACCTCAGTGTGGTAGCTTAGAGGCAAGAATGTAACTCGAAGCAAACAGATGGAAAAGAAGGCTACCATGCTTGAATGCTATAGTTTAAAACCAAATGCTCCTTCCACTCCTTTCCCACCTGGAACACAAATCGGTACTGGCCGGGCGCCACAGGGCCGACGAACACTGCATCTAGCACTTGATCATACTTCTCGGACTCGGCGGACCCAACGTAAGTGAGTCGCCATTCCAGATCTTCGAGGTGTCGGGGAGGTGGGACAGGGGTAATGTTACCAAGGCGAGAGCACAAGGGCACAGCAGCTATCCCCTCGCCGAGCAACTGCCCCGCGCACCATCTTGTAGATCATACAGGCACTCATACTGTATCTCGAACTGCAGAGGATTTGTGATCTTGGTGGGATTGTCCAAGACGTGAACGGAGGTCACCGAGATGGCCGTCATGACGTCCTCCGCTGTCCTCCGAGCGCCGAGGCGGATCTAGCAGCACGGTGAGACTCGAAACAGTATGATCTTGAAACCGTGACTCAGGTGGAATGCTGTTCACCGCCTATATTCGAAGCGCAACAGTCTGGAGGGAGGCGGAGTGTATCTTCAAACAGGGTGCGAACGGGAAATGAGGCAACGGATGCAGGCAGGTCGTCTTAATTGTCAAAGGGATGGACAGCTCGAATGTGGGGTATGCAGCGTCTGGCGGGACGGACAGTGCAGATCGCAGACAGACCCCCTTGAACAGGATTTTGGATCGTCTGGTTTGCGTGCTGTGGGTGGGAGGCCCCTCGAAACAAGGAAAGCCTGGCCACTCCGCAAGACCAGTCAAGGATGATGCTTGCAGCTTCGCAATGCGGCGCTACGCGAAATTGGAGCTGTGCCTTTGGAAGAATGGAAGAGTATATTGTATATTATGCTTACAATGGAATGAGACAAGCATCCAGCTGTTATGACACAGGGAATATTGAGAGGAAAAACTGCCGGTGACGAGCGGGGGCATGCACTGTTGAGGGCACAGAAGGCGAAGTCTCCTTGCAGTGACCCTGTCATCAGCACCCCAGAAGAACTCCAGTGCCTTGGAGTACAAAGGGTGCACTGCACTCTCCCAGCAAGATGCCTCACAAAAATCTCCGTTGTTTCTTGGGCAGTCCCTCAACCTTGCCTTGCGCAATGAGCTGCTGGTAGGCGGCATGGATGTGCATGGGCTGCAGCGGGCCCTCCTCGCCCTTTCCCGCTGCCAGCATTCGAGCTGTGAGGCGCCGGTGGAACGTGACAAGTGGTGAGGGGCCCCTTTGTGAGAGTCATGCTGAGTTGCTGTTCCCTATGACCCGACGCCTCGCGAGCAGCTCGGCCAAGAAGTCCTGGCCACTGCTAGCTCCATCCCAGTGAGATCTCACGGCATGCCCTCACCAGTTTCGACCAGCTGTCCAACAAAAGACTTTGCGACGCTGGCCAGCGCGATGAGAGACTTGTCCTGGGGCTTGGGATTAACGCCGGTCACGATGTGCATCACCTGATGCACACGCCACGACGCAGAGGGGGTTGGATGAGCAGCGCACTGAGAACAGGCACACTGCTATTCCCCCATTGAACAGTGAACTGTGTCTCCCGGAGTGACGAGCGCACCCTCTGCATGGGCTTCTTCAGGGATGAGCGGCGGAAGGCTTCGTACCGATCGAGCTCCACCCCATCCAGCATGCTCACAACATGTCTGGGACAGGGGAATTTGGGAGGGAAAACTGGTGGTGACCGTGCTCAGTTCAGGTCGAACCATGCCAGCCAGCCACACCACCGCATACAGTCCTCAAGCAGCCCTGACCCACGTGTTCAACTCAGCGCGCTGCTGCTTCGTCATCTGGGACAGGTCTATGGCTCCGATGGCAACCTCAGCGCCTCCCAGACCAGCGACAACTCCAGGTGGTGGTGCAGGGGCCACCCCTGGTGCCTCCTCTTCTCCCACGCCCTCAAAATCAGCCTCGAGCGCGGCTTCGAGAGCCGCCTCCACATCATCGCCGTCGGATAGTGGGACCTCAGGCGCTGAATCCTCTGCTATCTGCGCTGCCTGGGTCCCGGGCTGCGTCATGGACGTCGCACCCTGGCCGTGCCGCTCACAACCAGCTGCCGATAGATAGCAAAGAGTCACGGATGAATGGCTTCATAAATAAGTTGCCTGAATTTTCCCAATGTAACCGCAAATATTCTCGGTCCCTTGATCTCACTCGACATGCAAGTGCGGAGTTCCCGACGATCTCGCGCGCGCGGACAACAGGCTTATCAACTCCTTTCTGTTCATGCGACAACAGAAGGAATTCTTCCGTTCAGAAACTGAGCCAGTCAATGGACAGCAACAAAATTGGTCTGACAACTCCTTGAAATCATATGAACAAGCTGATATCACTCCCCACCAAACCACTCGCTGGTCTCGGGCTCCTCCACCGCCCCAGCATGACGGCTTTCTAGCAGCTCATTCCGGGGTGGTGCTGCAGCCACCGCAGGTCTTTGCCGCTCCTGCACGATCAATGAGGCGGATGGAAGGTCAGCAGGGATTGGAGGCTGCTAGGCTCGTTACAATGTAGGACAGCTAGAGGCCTCAAGTGTCAGGTGCTGAGTGTTGCAGGCTCGCGATGCAAGGTTGACTGAAGCAATAAATTTGCAGAACACCCACACCAGGATAGACCCCATCGCAGCAGCAGCAAGTCCCACCTCTGGCACTGGTGGGGCCTCGGGCATGCCCAGCATGTCTCGGACCGCCGCCTCGTCGAGCGGCTCCCGCTCCCTCTCCCACTGCACGATAGTGCATGTGGAAGCGCGGTGTTGCAAGGGCTGGACATCAGGACGATTGCAGAAGCCTCACCCACACACATGGGCGCAGGCAGCACCCTCATTCTGCAAAGCTAAGCTCACTCTTACCTGGGCGATGGCCTCCATCTCCTCAGCCGGAGCCGGCTTGGGAAATTCAAAGCCGTCCACACGCTCGTTGTGCACAAATCCCCTGCGAATCGTGGCAACCGGCGAGACAGTGTCCCAGAGATGGGAAACATCATACCCAGGAGCGCAGCAGAGAGGCGCCCAGGTCATTGTTGTTCCTGCCCCCTTAAGGCCCACTCCCATCACCAATGCACCCCAATCCACAGTCTTGGGAGCCATTGCCGCCCACCCAGGGGCCCAGCCTGCTGGCTGCAATGCCGTGCAGGGGCGCCCTGTCCGGCTCTTCTCCAATACTTCCCTGCCCCGACGCTGAACAACCCCCCCAAACCAGCACATACCCCCCTCGATTATGTAAGCCTACGTGATCTTGGTGGTGCGTGTGATGGCCGTCACCGCCTCCTCGTCCAGGTCCAGGCGCACCAGGATTTGCAGGCCCTCCGCCCAGGCCAGCGTGCGCGTGCCGCGCTTTCCCGTGCGCGGGTTCCAGGCGCGCACCGTCTTACGCGGCACCCAGAACTCCACCAGGCGCAGGCCATCCTCGTCTACGGCCATGCCGGGGGTGGGCGGCAGCGCCCGCAGTCGCATGCCCAGGTAGTCGCACAGCTGCTTCACCTTGTTGGGGCGGACGTGCAGCATCCACCAGGCCTGGCCCAGTCCGCGGCCATGGTATGCCAGCTGGGGCCACCACTTGCTGGCAAGCAGGAATGTTTGGGGCAGGGGAGGGGGAGGGGGAGCGGAGCAGTGGGAGGGGTGGAGTGAAGGGCGGCGCATTGAGGAGCGCCCGGAGCCAGAGGCATCCACACCGAACCCTACAGCACCCCATCGCAGTCCCCTCCCTCACTTGCGCTCCCGGTCGTGGCGGAAGAGCATGCTGCGCCTGTCCTCCGCGCTGTCCTGGGTCTCCTGGGGGATGGAGCCGGCGGAGGGGCGGAGGGAGCGCCGCTCCTTGGCGTCGGCCAGGGAGGCTGGGGACGCGACGGTCCCGTTCTCGAGTGAGAGGGGGTTGGACGGCTCTGCGGGGGGCTGCTCCCAGTCCTCCTCCGGTGCTGTCGCCCTGTCAGGCACTGTGAGGGGCCGGAGGGGAGTCGTGCTGGGCCGCGCTCCACGCCGGGGCCTGGCATCGCCTCGCAAGGCGCTCCAGGTTTTGGCACGGCGCGGCAGCACAGACACGGCTATGCTCGGGCTGCACCCCCCGGCATACCTGGTTGTCGGAGGAGCCTGGCCAGTCTCCGACTTCCCGGTCTCGCAGCCCTGTGCTCGCTCCGGGTGACCTGCGTCGCCCACACGGCCGGGCATGGGCGAGGTTGGCTGGTCGTGAACCACATGCTCGGGGGTGTTACCTCAGTCCGGGCAGGGCCTCATGCACCCTTGCGCAAAGCATGCAATGTATCGTTGGATTTAATCATGCAACAAAGGGCTCGATGGACGGGGTTGCCGTGCCCCGGCATGCGGCTATGCATGGCATTGCAGTGGGACCGTCATCGCGCCGAATGGATCGCCGCACACTCAGCAGCAGGTATTTCCCCCCACTCTCCCAACAGTGCTGTGCGCTTGACATGCCGCGAGGGATCTTATTTCAGGGGGGATGGCGTGCCTGGGACCGGCTGAGGGGTCCCAGGTGCTTGAGCAGCAGAGGGAGGGTCAAGGCGCAGG